GGGGAGATGTTAATTATATATAACGGTTTGCCCGTACCCCAACGCAAAAAAAAAAAAAAAATACATCTTGAAAACATATAATGACATCATGCTTTATTTGTGCACTATCCTATGGCAGGGAGGTAGGACATGACCCATTAAGCCTGCACAGGAAAGAACACATGAAACAAAGTCTGACGTGGTGCTTCAGGACTCTTGGTTTGACTGATTACCCTCTTTGGCTTTGAAATTACAGCATATAAGGCCAAACCTGTTAGTTTGGTGATTCAAATGCCAAAAATCTCTGACAATGCTTATCGCTTAATCTCATCAGTAGCTCACTGTATTAAAGTTGGGATTTCAAGCTATTCATGGTGACAGACGGCTAAGATGGAAAGCTTGCGGTAAAGACCATGCAATATCTCTTTTTGAGTCTGTGTGGTTCTGATAAGAACCGGAGAGGCTCAACGTTTCGGACAGTGTGCTCTGTCCGTTGTCAGGAGACTGAAGAGATGTTGTGTAAAACAGTAAGTACAAAAACACCTGACGTGTGTGTATGTGTGTCAGATGACTTGATGTCCATGTTACGTGTACATTTCAACTAGACAAAATGACAGTGCATGAATTTTGGGTTTGAAATGATTGTGGCATCTCCCTTTTTGCAACACAATTTCAAGATGTGTGCCGACAAATCCAGAAATAAAAGAAAACAGAAGAAAAACTATGGCTACGACAGAGCAAAAAGCAAGCACCGGGCTACTGAGGGCAGTAATGCTATGAACTTAAAGAAAAAAATGATGCATGGAGTTTTGTATAAATTCCTTGTAATGAAGTCCAGCACTGTCCAATCATGCAAACACTCTACCAGGGGTGCACTTTGGCAAATGTAGCTAGCAAATGTTTCAGTTACCCAAACGCTGAACCAATTATGTTGCATTATTATACATATATATGTATATATAGATCGATGTTTTGAAAACTTCAAGTTATTCTTTACAATCATGTGACAGCTCTAAAGTGAGATTTGACACTTGGGGCCATGCAAACATTTCCAGACGGCAGAAAAAGTAGCATATTACCAAACTTACATATAGATATGCTTTTGCTTTTCAAATATATGCCAATAGTGTATAACAGTGAAGAGCATACCTTGAAGTTTATTAAAAAATAAAATATAATTTGCTTGCATCTTTTTGTTGTAAAGCCAAAAGTAGTACGTCGTCACTGTTCGCAGTTACATAAAAAAATGCATCACTAATTTTCTTTCATTAATGCCAAAATACATCCCCGGCAAAGCTTGGACAAAACATTGCACCATAGGACTTTCCAAACATTGCCGTTTGCTTTTCATTTGATTCTTAATTACAGTATCTACAGAGAAACAATGCATGACGAGGTAATGTCAAAGAAAAACTGTTCCAAAATGTAAGATGCAGTGGTGAATGTTGGAAAGTGACATTTATTAAAGTCTTGTTTGGTTACCATCTCTGTTTGCTAAGAGTGATTGTAGTTCACTTCCTTCTTCCTCTATTCTCGGATGGTGGAGATCCTCCTTGTGTTGAAGACAAGGTCTCCGTCCTTTTTGCGCAAGCATGAGTGAAAAAATTAACAATTAAGATTACATCAAAGAAGACCTGCAAACTACACACTTCTTTTCATTCAAATAACCAGAACAACGGTTCAGATATAGGACTTCCTGAAAAAAAAACTACATGAGTTAAAATTGCATCATGGAAGAGTTCAGATTTTAGTTAAGTTTGCAAGCCTGGAAAACCTTGAAAGTATTAAGTGGATACATGCACACACTTTGAGCTACCTGTGATGACAAAAGTTAGTCTGAAATGGATACTTTGTCAATGGTGAAAACAAAAGAAAGAGATGCACTCGGAAGCCATTCCTGAAACAGTACATTCTTATCGTTAACTTTAAGATTCTATCAGAGAAAACAAGTAACACGTACAGTACCTCCATCTAAATGTATATCCAATACAAATACTGCTTTGAACAGTGTAGCAAAACCAGCCTCTCAGTGTGATCCATAGAAAAAAGAATGCTCCTTGCAGTGTTCTAGCTAGGACCATCTTAGTGCCGGGTAAATGTTTGGATTGCGAAACGTAGCGAGCGTAGTGGATTGCGAAACGTAGCGAATGCAATGAGCAGAGCTCTCGTGGCTCATAGCCGGACTGGATTTGCACCCTCTATTGATACCGCTGTTCGGCTGGTCTTGAGCCAAGACTATGGACAAGTGCACGCTGCCTCGGGGAGGCTACATTATATCCCATAATTTCACATATGAATTTTGTAACAATGCTAGCTTGAAGTTCTCAATGCTTTCTGATGCTTGAAATACGATCAAATTGGTACATTTTCAGTAATATTTCAGTTCATTTTTTGAAAATCCGTGCTGGGCGGCACAGCAAATTTGAACCTGAGAGTCGGGCGGAAATTTGTAGTACTGGGTGGTACTGCCTGGTGCCGCCCACCGTGGCTAGAACACTGGCTCCTTGGATCACTGACGGAGGCTACTTTTACAACACCATGAGATAAATCATTACCATAAATTTGTGAACTAGCCTTACGAGAGCACTGTATGTTTAGTCATGTGCTGAACCAAGCCAATCAATAAACAGCACTGGCGGTGCCTGCATGCGTGCGCACACACACACAGAAAGCTACAAAGTAGTCGACTTTAAGATTTAAGCGTAATCCTGTTCATAAATGGCATTATCTAAAAATAATTGTTCACTGATTTATCATGTTAAGTCGTAGGTTTATGGTAGTAGTTGCACGGCGCAAGTATGTGTGGGTCTGAAAGAAACCGAAGTGTACTCAACGTTTCAGACAGTACGGTCCATCATCAGGAGACTGCAGGAATTCCAATCGTGAAGCGGCTTACATGGTGACTCGTGGCAGTGAGGGTGTGGAGAGTTTGCTAACTCGGGATAAAACCCAAGGGTCCCGAACTGCAACCTGAACGTATGTGCAGCAATGCCCAGTTTGTACCTCACTGATGAATATGTAGCTTTACTCTAGCTTCCTCGATCTTCCAGTCTCTTCCGAATTCACCCCAGCCCGCACTTAGACTTTGCAGCAAGGCAGGCCTGACACAATATTTCTATAATCATACGAAACCAACCCCCAACATACCACTAGCGCCAGCAAGTAGCAAACATGTGTGCGGCTGGAAAGATAAGCTCACTGGCAAACTAAGCACGTTGTGGCAATGCAATCTGCTCAGTTATCTTAAGTGTTCTTCTGGAGATCCGAGCACGCTGGATAAGTGAGCTAATATTTACAAAAATGAGCGCAACCGCGACATCGATGGTCATCAAAATACCTCTTTGCTTGCTACAGATATAGTATTTTGGTTACTTACAAATATAATTCTTCTGGCCGTGAGCAAAAAGATAGCAAAAACAGTGAATACCATGTGATTGGTTCTTGGCCAATCTAGATACAGCATCTGTGGGTAAGGTTTTATAACTACCACTAACTAGCAGCTATTCTTAATATTAATGTATGTACCAACAAAATTTCGGTCTCTTCACTGTGAGCTTGTTCATATGTTTGTTATTTAGAAACTTCACAAGCCATAAAAAAGATTCAGCCCTAGGTTTCTGACACCTTACATTGTACCACGGCGAATGAAGTGGGTTTTGCTCAACTGATGAAACTCAATTTTGGGAAAAATGAAAAGAAGGGTCATCAATGTTTTCAGAAAACTCAGGGTGAGAAATATTTGCCGCTAATAAAAGCAATATCACCAAGATCCCAGTAGGCAATTCCACTTTTAAAAGACATTACTATATCATGAGGAGAAAAAAATGATATGGTCTACGTCTAGCCGGTACCTATAAACGTAACTGTGACAAGTGAAATGGAGACGTATTGTAATGTTTACTATTGTTGGAAAGGCAAGAGGCCTAAAGTACATAGCAAATATGTCAGTCCCAATGTTAACAAGATTGACCGTATTTTGGTGCCGATACACTTTCAATGTTTAGCTCACCTTGAAGTTCGGCCTCGTACCCCGTGTCATTGATGGCTTCCTGCAGCTCTTGCGGGCTGACTTCCTCAGGATAAAAATGGACAGCTGCCATTTCCTTTTCAAGGGACACCGAAACGCTGGCCACCCCGTTTACTTTTGCCAAGTGTTCTTTGATGGACCAGGTGCAATTCTCACAGGTCATTCCATGGACCTACATGTACAGAGGTGCAAACATACACGTACATGTACACGTTAAGCTGGCTGCTTAATAGTACGCTCATCAATATAAATTTAGCTGCTACTTGTTTGGCTCAACAATCAACAGCAGAGGAAGGATTTTCAGAGTGGAGAGCCAGTTGTGAGACCATCTGGCATCAGCCCTTAACAGACTGATCCATTGGGACCCATCCCTTTATAGGACCTGCCTGTGGAAAAAGTCTGGTGGAGGGAGGACTGATCCCCCCCAGCCAGTGTCAACAATGCTCATATTTCAGTAAAGTGTGACACAACTTGTGGCCTTTTGATTCAAGACGAGATGAAAGCAGATCAGCTGGGGAAATTCCTTAAATACATTTTTTTTGGTAAATGATGAACAAAACATAATTTGCGGCAAATATATAGCTGATAATTGATGAATCCAATATGGTTTGCTCACTGCTCAACGTCCTCATTGATTCTTTAATCTTTCGCCCCATCTTCATCCAAAGTTCCTGCCCTTCCTCCCACATGTCCTTTCTTGTCATTATCCTCCAACCCCCATCTCCCTCTATTTGGTACTTCCTGAAGGTTTTTGGTCAAAAACTTCATTTTGACATACACCGTGTATCATATTAGTTAGGTAGTATGCTTGAATTGTGAAGATGTTTTCCCACCGCAGAGTTTTTATGTGCTGTATCAACTAACTTATAAGCCTTGCCCATTCACAGTGCACCACAGGTAGTAATGCATTCGTGTATATCTTTATGATGCACTTATGAGCCTCATAATGCCATAAATAATTTATAAATATTAACGTTTAACTACATGTAGCTCTAATTATATTTTCAATGTGAGGCACCCTTTGATATTAAGTTTCAATAATAACATGACATGCACTGACAATCAGTTAAAGATTTATTTTTCAATTGTAAGATCATGGGTCAGAAATGCCACTCGGGCACTTCAGCTGTCAGGTTTGCAGATCTTTAACATGTGGGTCACTCAAAAGACAGCTAGTCTACACAAGTCAACACATCTGCAACATACAGTATATCTAACTTTGCAAAGAAAATGATTTTCCTACCGCCGTGATTACGAAGAAATCCACCAGCAACTTGACTGAGGTACACCATTGTGGCTGTTGGACTTACACATTTCAAGTTTCAAACAAAACTATGTAAAGCTTCATTTCACCTGCAAGTGCTTGTATGTTCCTGACAGAGTGAAGCACAACGTTCACTGACAGAAGGTTCTATCCACCAGACACTGAACCATTCACAAACTGACCTTTAAATCAAAGCATGGAATTTGGAAGCATGTATAAGACACTATCAGAACTATACCGGCACTTCTGTATGGAGAGTACATGTACATGGGCATGATGACCAGTCTAACATGCTCACCGGAGCAGAACACTTGTAAAGCACTGGTGGGTGCAGCAAAATCTCTGACAAAAGTACCAAGGTCACACAGCTGCCTCTTCAATCACATCTAGCAAAGCAAATTTCGACATATACTGTATAAACAAACACTGCATGTGCATGTACACTGTGTGTGCATTCTAGGTTTTTTAACTTCCATCCAAACTTCGGGTTTTGGTTCAGAACGAATCCAGCATGCAGTTATGAAGACAATTCTAAAGATTTAATCTCCAATGATAGGTTGATTGTTACCTCCTTCGACAAATCCACACAACACAGGAAGTTACCGTACTTGGGTGAGGAACTCACCAGAGGGGTCAATATCTGACACCTTGCTCAATTGGCTGGCTGCTTAAAGTACACATAATGAAGTAAGCCGTGAAACCGTGCGTTTACCATTGACTGACTACTGAGGCATCAACAGATCTACAGTTCCTTCTGCCCAAGTTCACCTGGTGATGGTATAAGCCTGGCTTTAATTTTTTTAGCATGGAGATCAGTAAGTATTTCTACAATAACCTGACTACTCCAGGTAGTATGAAGTATATAATGGGCCAAAATAAGACATGGTTTCCATATGGTCATCTGTAACACAGACGGGAAGCAAGACATGGCCCCAGACGTGCATGACGTAATTCCACCCAAAAATTGAAACGAACGGCATCAGAAACTCCGAAACTATTTAGTTGATTAATGGGGCATAGTATTTAAGCATATTAAGAAGAAAATGGGCAAAATTTGTGGAACTACGTATCCGTGAGAGGGACATTGTTGTACACGGTCATGCTAGTGTGAGTGTTTATATGACGGTACCATGGCTACACATCGCAGATAGTCTAACCTGGCTCAACTTGGGCTGGTTTGCATTTGTCTGCATTGTCGGTGACACTTCCGTTTGACACGTTTCCACATGTCTGCGTTGCAGTTTGCGTCTTGATTACATTGCTCTCTGCGTTGCAGACGTCGGAATGGAAACCAGGCTTTAGTTACCAGTTATGGTTTCAGTGTTTAGAAACAGATGTCTTGGTAGGTGTTGGTGAAATATCTGTAACTTCTGGAAAATGTTGCCAATATGGAAATAAAAAGCTGTTGTCAGATTCTGTAGAACTTTCAATTTTTTCTCTTTTCTTAACTTGTTGATACCACCACAGAGGAGTAGCAGGGGTAGGCTGTGTTGTCTACGTAGATGACCCTATTACTGATTTTGTTTCATAGATGCAACTTTTAATGACTGTGGGAAGTGTCAGTTGAATAGAGCCCAAAGGATTGGGATAAAATCAAGGCATATGTGCAGACTGGATTGAAATGGACAAGAAATAAAACTCTGTGTGTCAAGCGCTTGGCTTGGCTATATGATAAAACCATATTTGCTTAAAATGTATGTCTGATGAACAGTGCAATATATGCAAAATAGAATGCATATTTATGAGCATGTGTTTATGTATGAATGTTCCGAACAAAAATCTGCAGGGGCTTTGTGAGTTTCTACACAACTTCGCTAGAATTTTAATTTTTTTATACGTCCTGCTTACATGGAAAATATCTCCTCTAATACTGGAACAACCTGGAACGTTCAACATGTGCTTTCCCTGATGGCCTATTCTAAAGTTGACTTTGCTGGTGACAAAACAGCAGAATCAGAAAGAATCAATTCTAAACTTGGAATTACTCTACTTTTTTGATTTTGGAGCACCCTGAGAGTCAGTCAAACACCTTAAACTTTTCCCTCTCTGGTAAAATTGAAAAAAACAAATGAAAAGTGGACACACAGAGAAAAGAAAGTGAAAAAATAACAAAACCACCTTGGAAATTACTGTCGTTCATCATTAACCCTAACACTCCTCAGTCCTCCAACAGGTGAAGGATTGAGGAGGGTTAGGGTTAATGATTAATAACTTTGCTGCTGGAAAAGTCCCGTCCACAAAAGGAAACTTGGGAACATATGTAGCTTAAAGTATTATCAACAAACAAACTTGTCCATATTGCTGCCAAAACTGCAACTCCATTACGAATTTCAGTTAATCATTGTTTGAGCAAGTGACTGTTGTTCAGTAATTGTTTTCATTGAGGGGCAATTCGATCAAGGACCATAGTTAACCATATTTTGACTATCTCTCATCGAACTCACCTTAGTCCACGATGGTTGGACTAGACAAGTCAACTATTCGCGACCAGCCTAAAGAGGTTGGTCGCGTCATTGGTTGCCACCAACCCATTTCTGTTACCACAGTGCAGAGAGGACCAGTTATAAGAAACATGCCAGAGAGAAACACCATGTCACTAGTTAACAACCACATTCACTTTCATATTTGCAATTTGCCCTTCCCGAGGCCACCTAATGACCTGACAACAGTTGACTAGGGTTGTTCGCACTTCAACTTCACTGCACATGCACCAGGTACATCACAAACCAAACACTGGTTAACTAATGGTCTTGAGCTAACTTGCCCGAGAATGTTGTAACTGAGGTCACATATGTTTTCCCAAAACCTATTTGTATATCCCATTTTGTGCATATCTGCAAAAACAAACTATGAGAACAAGCTGTTGGAATCAATGTTTGAAAAATAACATAATTTCATGAACATGTATAGGAGATGCACGAATGTACATGTATCTTTTCAAGAGGCACCTTGGAATTTATGTAGTTACTGAATTGAATTTACTTGTATGTGGTGTTATATGAGTTATATTGTGTTTAGTACTTTGTCTTTAATTTAAACAGAAAACAATTAAAGTGGAGGCCAATTTCACATTGGGTAAATCTCTTTGTTTACGTGATGCATATCCACAGCCGTTTGAATATTCAAAATGTGGATGGAAGCAACAAATTTCTCACTGCCTCACATCAAACCTGTTCTGGTTGTACAAAGAGTACCCTTTGTGGCTAAACTCCCAGCATATTTGTTAATTTCAGCACAAAGTTTGTTTACAAAGACACTGGCCAATAGTGCTCAACATCTCAAAGGTAAAGCATGTTGACAAGCATACCTGAACATATTGAAAGCCCAGCTGGCAAATATGAAAGCATATTCGTTTGTGAGACATTACTCCTGTGGAAATGTTTGAATGATGACTGTGTACATTTTAGTTTTGGACGCATCTTTTTGGTTCTTAAAAAGATTTTCTCCTTTCAAATGACTTCTGCCTTGATTTTGAACACAATTTCAGTTTTAAAAACTTGGCCTTTTTCACTAGCGCACTATACATTTCTGTTCAACTTCTTCGATAAATTGTCAGTGACTTGCAAGTTTTCAGCATGTATGTGCTTGTCATCAACAATGTTTTTATCCCCAATCCCACAAATACCCCAATAAATCAAAACCCACATTTTCAAAAAAGTAATTCCTGCTGACCGTTAACATGATGACATCACCATCATTCAAAATATTTCACGTGGATAAGCTATTCCCTAATAATGAGGACAATGCCCTATAGTAAGTGTGCACAAACGCAGCTTTAACTATCAAGAACAAAACTGGGTTCTTGGAAAAAGAACAGTCATCGGTGTCGGCTGAAGTCAAATCGGATAGATATCATCATTTTCAATATACGTGGCGCAGGTATCACAGGCGATGAAAGACGACAAACTGTTATTTGATTCCAAGAACACAGATCCCTGTTCCCCGTAAACATATCTGTGTGACTGCACTGCAGCGTGCTTCACTGTACAACACAACAGTCCTTTGACCCCACTGCAGAGAATGGGTGGTTATGCGGCAGTGGCCACGAATGCAGAGATCCTTGGCACTGTGGTGACAAAGAATGAGTCGGGTGTTTTGTGTGGTCAGAGTTGAATGGCGCCCTCATGATGTGCTCTGCACCTCTGACTCCAAGGGACAACTGTACCTGGATTTTGATCTCTTCTGGAGGACTTGTTGCATGGGTGAATCCCTGCATGTTGCCTCTCTCGGTGCTTACAGAATCCTCCATCTCGACTGCTCCTCTCTCTAAGTCTTCTCCAATAGTTACGCTAAATTCTGCATCTACCATGCAAAAAGAACATATTTATTATTTAACCTACATTTCACACAGCCGTGATTAACACTGAGAATCATGGTACCCTGATCTGAAATTCTCATTTCTAGAATATTTTGCATGCTCTAAGATGTATACAATGTAACTTTCCAGAAAAAAATAGCTAGAAATAGCTGGAACCAGAGGTAATCTTGTGAAAAACATGATTTCTTGCCTTCTGCTTTTTATTTCAAAGCTTGTAAACAATGACCGTTAACACTGCATGTATTTACACATGTACATACACGTTTATTTTTACAGCAAACCTTCTAAAAAAACTGTTACTAATGGCTTGATAAACTCTGCATCAATTAAGTTGATTCCTCTCTGGAATTTTACAAAACTGAATTCCATATTCTTTCCTAGTCAGTTACAACTTACTCTCGATTTCCCCATTTTGGTAATTTGGGCACAAGAAAGTGAACAAAAGACGCACAAACAGAGAGCTGCAAAAAAAATGGAACTAACCTTTGTTATCAGCCATCTCCATGTTTGGTTGACTTTCTTTTCTTTATGAACAAAAAATGAACACAATGTATCAATGACAAGTTTGTAACTCAATATTCATGACAAATACTACATGGAATATTTCAATGACTCTAGCAGTGTTCAAATACAACCATTCACAAATGTATGAAAAACTTTCCCCGTTCTCTCTTCAAAACAAATTGTGTCTTTAAAGAAAAGCTTTTGTTTTAAATTCCCACTTTGGGGATTTTTTTTATCAAGATGCATGGGCCCACTGTGTTACTATTCCTTGCATTCAAGGAAAGAAATATCCAAATACATGTACATGAACCAAGTTCTGGTGCTTTTCGCCATTCACATCATTTGTGGATTGTTGGCATTCAAGGAAGTAGGTATTAATTAATACAGCAAATAGCTTGATAGTTTACCCCTCCCATTGTGCTTAGGACCCTTGAATAGGAAAACAATGTGCAAATAATGTTAGAATTGACCGTATATCTCATTCTTTCGCATCTTTTCAAAATCATCTTAGATAAAAGCCTGTATACAGCATGATAATTTATAAAAAATGAAATACTGTTTGAACTGAAAGAGAACTTTTGACTCAAAACTTGAATTCTAAAGTTAGAAATAGTATTACTGTGCATAACAACCGATGCAACTGGGTATACTCATACATTGATGAAAAGTAATGAAAGTTTTTGTGATTTTTTAAATCTTAACTTGAACCTGTACATGTACATCATCACCCAATATCCTTCATAGCATCATAATCCACAATAAACTCCAGATTTTAGCACGTGAATATCATGAACTCAAGATATATAGAACTCTCAGCCTAAAACCAGTTCATACTTAGCAATTAAGATTATATGAATGCAAAACTATGACATAAGATCAAATATTGATGCTGGGAATTTGAAAAAAAATCAACACATCTCAACTCGACTGAATTTTACTGTACATGTACATATTTTTGTGATGTCAAATTTGCTTCCCTTTTACATCTGCCTGAAGTAGGAACAGGCCTTCATTTGGAAGGGTAAAACAAGAGCCATTTTTAAATATCGATGTGAATTTTGCCATGGCATAGTACTGTATTCTTTGTACAGGGCCAGTATCACACTGGCACCATGTAAATATCAAATTCCACCACCAGTCTGAGCAATATAGGCGATTCACAGTACAGAACGCCACCAAGAGTTTGCCGCAGACAGGCCACTTTTCACGTTGCTGCGATTGAGTGCACTTTGGTACGTAAATTGTTAGAGAGTTGATAGATTGAGTCATTCCCCACAAAACCATCAATTTGACTACCTCACACCCATTCGCAATACGCCATTTCGAATTTTCAACCTATAAACAAACATTTGGAAAAACTGACATTTCTCCCACTCAGCGCAATTAGACTTTGTCGACTATTTATCCCATAACGCACAACGAACAGACCTCTCCATGACAACCTCTTAGTGGCACACTGCATTGCGAATTGTTCGCATTCATTGAATTTTGTGATGTTGTGGTTAACACCCAATTCGCAATGTGTCACACCAGACTATTTTATGTATTATTTATTTATTTAGTTTAAAAAATGCACTGTTATCCTTTATTGTTTAAATCGAAATTTAAATCGAACATTTTCACAGAAGGACAGTTTACCTTCATTTCATGATGTCCTGAAAGGATTCTCTTTAGGGGAAAACGCAACTGCACTAGGTTTGAATTTTATCATGAGAATATGAATTCACTATGATAAATATAAGCATGGAACCAAATGAAGAATATTCTGTACTTAAATCAATTGCTAAGACTTCCAATACCAGTCACTTTACATGCTCAGAGCTGTACTAGTATATGGAAAAACAATCAAGAACCACTTCGCACTATGAAATATTGACAATGCTCACTTTTAAGACCCTGCTACTTCTGTACTTTAAAATATGTATCACTGTATGTCTTGAACTGTCAAAATGGGTAATCCTGAAGAACATCCTCCCTATATAAATGATTCCTCAATTTGGCAGTTGTGTAAACATGAAAGGAACAAGTAGTGAAATCGTAACAATTTAACCTTGTAAGTAGTTGAAAGATTGTGGGGCTATATAACCATGATAACATGTATAACTTGACAACTATTAAACTAAAAATGCCTACTATTGCCAACAAAATATACCCATTAATCCTGACTTTATTTAACCCTTTCATGCAATCATGGTTTTAAATTTTCCCCATTAGGCCTAATTTGATATTCAGTATTTAAGAAATAAACTTAAAAAGAACATTTTAGACAAATCCGGGATGATACGTGGCGCGTAGCGTTGGCTGTCAATTTCATCGTTTTAGAGAAAATCGCTGATTTCGCAAAATTTCAACACGTTAAAAACAATTTTTCCACTTTTAAACGCTTCTTTATATCTGCTTATAGCGCACATTATTTAAAAATGATATCATTGAAAACTTGAGTTTTATGTAAGCATATAAATTGGGTTGTACCTACCTTAAAAACAGTGCAAAATGAGTAAATCTGTTTCCGATCTTTGAATTTTTACTCGAGCTCGTTTTTCTCAGTGCGCAAGGCAGGTCTTTGGCGCATCGCAACGCGCAGCACGGTTCACACACTAACAAAGGCACAAAAGTGTAAATCACGTGTTTCGTCAGCTGACAGACCATGTGATTACATTCCAAAATTATCAGATGACTTTGAGTGGTCACCTGGTTTTCGGATATATTTAGATACCAGCGTGCGTCACCCATTGATCAGTGGCGTCATCTTGTTCTCGCAATTTCTACGAAGCCGGAATTGAGTTTGGTTTGTGAATAGACTGGCTCCCTGTCTTCCATATATTACTTTCACCACAGCTCTGTATATTAACACGGCCTTTTCCAAATCAACCGTTTATCGCTCCGTATTTCATGCATTGTTGTACTATTTGTGTTTGTGCTCCAGATTTCTCTATTTACACCGAACCAGTTGCATTTTTAAAACTCTATAAGCCGTACGAGATCGGAGATAATAATAGATAATTAGAGATAATTTTATAATAATAAGATAATTTTATTCCGATTAAGGTGGTTACTAAGTTGGGCCTACGTGTACTTCAGTACGTGTTTCCTCCCGGGATCTTGCGATTATAAGGTTGGAAGCCGTTGGGTAAAATGGGATGGCTTTTCCGTTTTAATTCTTTGTCGAAATACAGGGACTGACACAGGAATTCTTATTATGATGCAGTCGTAAAGTATAGAAGTACTAGTAGCTCATGGGGCCATGCTGTTTATTTTCGAATTCACCGCCGTTGGGAAACTGAATTAGTACAGACCATTGTATTTTACCTACGAATCATTACCTTGGTCTGTTGCGCACTCTTGTGGAGTTAAAACTGACAGTGTCATTGTGGTGTCTTCATCTTTACAGCATGGTATAAGATTTTCAAAACAACATAAGATACACGTCACGATGACTTTCCACTTCTTTTGTAGCGTCGAAAGGCTGAAATGTCAACATTTTGGATTTTATGCTGACGAAGATTTCCATATTCATGAGCAAAATTTTGATGTTATTCAAGTCAAAACAAGGGTTTCTCACGTGGGGTACGTAGTTTCCACTTTATACTTGGTTATCATGTTAAACACCTTGTAAAGACAGAAGTAGTGGCCACTATTTCTTCAAAACGTTGTTTGTGGTGATATTGAAATATTGATATATTGTCCTTGTACTCCGTTGCCAAGTTGAGCTCAATGGCAATTTCCTTTAAGAAAGCAAACCATGTGATGCGGGGGACCATATACATTGCGGGAAAGGAGACAGGTGAGGGGGCTCTTTCTCCTCCCCTGAAATTTTCAATATAAAAACAAGGGGAAAGTAAAGAAAAGAGAAATTAACGAAATTAGTAGAAACGATGACCGATTTGCCTGAAAATACATCGGAATGACCTTCAATTAGCAGCGTGCTGCTCATGAGTGCTTTTCCCGGAGAAAAGGACATAGTGACGGTGACGCCCAAGGGGGAACTTGTCTTCTCCTCCAACAAAGGACCGACAATCCTTACCACAAAAGAGTAGCGCGTTTAATGTGACTAAAAATTGTATTCACAACCAACAGTTTAAAGCCTTCAAAACGTGAGTGGAAGCTCCTAAAATTTAGCAAACGCATTTTTCCTTTGTTATTTGTGGTGGGAAATTTTGTCTGTACACTTCAAGTTATTCTGGTAGCAAAAAAAGCACAGTTTCTGGTTAAAAATTTGCCAAGAAAATGCAAGATTTGATGTAGTAATACAAACCCCCACCCAGCTGTCCCACCGAGATGCACTCCCCTTGGCCTTCCTTTAAGAAGTGGGATAATTATAACGTCACTATTGTGTAACCACTGACTTCAATCTTGTTATTGAGTTTATTGCAAGCTAAACGCAGATTACAAATTCAAAAGCTCAACACTCTATTCAAATAACACTCAGTATGATATAATACGGTTATAAAATGCAGTTATAGAATTCGGTTATAAAAAATGGTTATAAAAGGTACATTTACATACATGTATACGTACGACAATGGAATTACGCACGGCAAAAAAGAACACAATGGTTTTCTGTTGGGTTGTTTACATTCAGAGTTGAAAAAACGCGCTGTCGCTCGATAAACCGCTGCATACGGAAAACGGAAAACAAAACAGCAACCGTTAACAACAAGAAACAAAAACAGAGCCATTTTTCCAAAGTTACTACTCTTTTTAGACTGGTTCTTACTACTAGCAGCGACAGGCCAGCGAATTTGACGTTATTAGCCTTTAGAAGTTGGCGGACACAATAGGAGGGGCGCCATTTCAAGTGGGTAAATTTGGAACAGACCACACACATGGAACAAACACAAAAGATTTTACAAACCAAAGAGCGCCCTCCTATTGTGTCCGCCATACCTCTAAAAGGCTCGAGTTGAAATGTATGGTGTACTATTTACGACACACATTTTCGCCTATACATGAGCGACGCAACCACACGACGCGATGGCAGGACGGCTCCGGGCATCGTGTCGTCGCGTCGTGACGTCACCTTCTTGCCATTACGTTTTGTATACACATGCGACGCGTTGTGTCCTGCGTTACGTCGCGCTGTCTAATGTCCTTTCTAAGTCTTTATATTGTTTAACTTTTGCAGATTATGACAGCATTTGACATCAAAATCGGTTATTCTATAGTATTATTAATACTTCACGTTTATGAACTTTAAAAATGCAAACAATAGCGAGACATCGAAGTGTCATGTAAATTTACAAACACAGCATGATTGGGCTGCCATATTGTTCAGTTAGTGGCCCTTACCAAATCTTCTAATTTCCCAAGTGATTTGAAAAGGCAAAGAGCGACAAATATTATTTTTCAGATTCCTTGGATGCACAAACCGCTCAAACTGCGTAGTTGAACCAACTGACACGGTGTTGAATGAACGCGTGGTGATATAACATAATGTCCAGTACAGTAAACAGCATGCATTCGTTCATAACCCCGTAAAGGCGCCGGTGCAGACGAGCAAAATACCGATAGCTTTCGTTTATGTTTTTTTTTTATAATACATGTATCATCTCCGGAGGAGTATTGGTAGAGCAATTCTTCGCCTACAATACGGGCGTTTCACAATAGTGCGCCTCCAAGAGTTTGCAGCGCGTTGGCTAATGACAATGCACGAAATTTGTCGACCTAATGGGCGTTTGGAAAGGGTCGACAAATTGCGCGTTGCAAACTCTTGGAGGCGCACTGTTGTGAATCGCCCGTATTCCTCCTCAGAAAGTACAAATCGCTTGAAAAAGATCACTTTCTCTTTCGTTATGACAATACGTGGGAATTTAAGTGCAACTGTTTCAACTTTTTTGCAATTAATTTATACAATACCCTTTAAATGTCTTGATTGACGAAGAGAAAATATTATCGTGTTTCCATCGGAATTTTAATATAAGGTAAACATTTTACTAATTCCAAAAGTCCTTTAAAAATGTTTTTTAAAAAATCTTCAAATATCATCCAGCTTTTCTCCAAAATGGTTTTGCCATGTCGGATGCTAAAACAACCAACGAATATCTGGAATCCACGTTTTACTATACCGTCAGAAAGCCCATGTTTAGTTCAAATTAAGCTACATACAGGACGGCCTACTGTTTTTATAATAAGATATCATGATATCATGTTGTCTTAAAAGTTAAAAGCTCCCTTTTTTGTTTAAGTCTGGGATTAGACACCCAAACTCTCTCATTCATATCAGAATTACAGGTGTATTTGATGAAAGGATTTCATTGGTCATTAGGATAATTGGTCGGACAATCAAGATAGCAGGTACTGCCTGTCTTGGCCGCCTGACCATCTTTTTCTATTACATTAAAAAAAAGAGTGAAATTCCATAACTTCAGATACTGTGCGGAGTTTTGGGTTTTATGTGAAATACATGAACTGATAGTTTTCCCAGTTCCTGAAAAATTCTCGATATCTCAACATATCGGAAAAAAGATCAAAAGCGGATTGTTCTAGTTTGCGACTGGATTCCACATCAGCCAAACTTTTCCTCTCAGTATAGGCCTATATACTGTGAGACAAAACCGAGGGAACGCTACATCCGTTTTGTTGAAGGCTGTTTAGTGGCACTGACAATGCCGCTATAAACTACTGTTATTACAGCGTTAGGCGCCTGCTCCTCTGCGACTTACTAAACTGGAGATGATCGTACAGGAAAGGGTCGACAGTGTCTCGGTCTCGACCGTCGGTGCGTTTTCGCCTTGCAACCTTGTCATACGACTGATCGATTTGCGGCGGCGACTCCCGAGTAGGCATTACCTGGAAATACAAGTGGCCTCCACGTTTTGGGTACGAGGGAGACGAGCCAGTCGCCAGCCTATCAACCCCGACAACAACGCGTGTATCTTTCGTGCCTGTCCCGCTCTCACCATTTTTCTTAGAAGCAGTGCTGTCGTGTTCGTTACAAGCCGCAGTAGCCGCCTTTCTGCGAGGTGACTTGTAATTGCCTGGCCCATCTTCTCTGTTGCGGCTGTTGCTCTCTCCACTCTCTGCATTGCCTATCTCGGAATAGTAGTGGTGATCGTAGGCGTACGAGTATTCTAGTCTGGATCTAGGCGCTGACGGTGGTTCAGCTAACGGTGTCATTGTGGTTCTAGGACCTAGAAGAAGCAAATCAATTATTCTCTTAACCTGTGATTCATTCCGGAGCTACTTTGCACCGCTGTGTGCATATCGGAAATTGCCTATTTGCCACCGGTTAGTGACGAAATTTCCATTGCCGTAGGTGTCGATAGTCGAATTTATTTCTTATCAGACAATATGTGATGATGAGCAATGTACCTTAAGTCAGAAATTCGGTTGAAATTTAACAAAACTTCCAGAGAGCTAGTTATGTGCTGACTCTGTTATTTGGCCAGTCAAGCCCAGATAGTGTGCATGCTGTTTTGTTAATAAACTGGATTACTATGTTATTTTGTACCTCCTGCATACTAAACCAGCAAATTTACACCCAATGTTTGTCCTAGTGTTTCCTACTGAAGAAACTTTACCCAGTGCAACCCCCTCATCTTCAACAGTTGGCAACTCTCGAGAATTCCTGCAAAAGAAAAAGTTGAGTAACCGCTTTATTAGGCTCGCTTTGAGGATTGGGAAAAAAAGACTTCAAATGCTGCACAATTTCATGTACGGAAAGGGTATAGGAAAATTTTAACATGAAATAATTAATTAAACTCGTAGTTACTTTTGCAATATTCCAATGGAGAAATCTCTAGCCCAGCTGTTTTGTTTATTTACCGTAAACGTATTTGCCAGAGAAACACCAGGACGATAGTCACGAGCAGAACAAGGGACAAGACGGTACCGAGGACTGCGGTAGCAGTGTTGAGAGCTTCACAATCGCAACGACGCGTCGGTGGTGTCGAGGGAGTCGTAGACAACTGAGAAGAACCTGGGTCTGATTGCTCGTCCTCATTATTTTCATCATTCTTGTTTCTGCGTCACAGTGAGAAAAACTGTGAATACACACGTTTAGAGTTCAAATTTTCAGAAGCCTTCATCATTCACAAAATTGAAGTTGCGTGGAAATGTTTCTGTGATGTGCTGACTTAAATAATGGTTCTTCTTCCATAGCATTTGTGATGATCTTTCCCTTATTACATTACACTACACCCCTAAGGTCTCTTAGTGGTAATTGGTATTTCAAAATTGCTCAGAAACAGGTCTTTTACCTTTTTTTGGTGAGCAAGAGTAAAAAAAAAAGCTGTCAAGTCTTTGTAAGGATGAAATATGCTATGGTATGGTATTTATGCAAGGCACTGACATCCCTTATACTGAGCACCCGAAAACTGGACCACATTCTGACAATTTCACTATGCGGGCTGGACAAATTTGTACCAGTACGCGTGCGTTGAAAACGCCAACCAGATAAAAAGGCGGGAAAAAAACGAATGCAAATGATATCTCAATTTTTAGAATCGTCCAAGTCCAAATCTTGTCCGATTCTGAATACCGAAGGATGTCTGAACTGAGATTTAAATAAGGATGTTCGACGTCGTGGTGCAGTTTGTGTGTGGATAAATTATAGAGGACGAGTGATACGGACGAGTGATTGTCGACCCAATGCGCGTTTGGAAAGGGTCGACAGATTTCGCGCGTTGTGATTGGCCAACGTGCTACAAACTCTTGGAGGTGCACTATTGTGAACTGCTGGAATTAGACTCCAACACTGGAGAAAGTCGTTCAGCATTCTTCAGTGAACTAGGGAAAGTGAATCGACTGGTAAGGCTGATTAGAAAACTATGTGGAAGGAGATTGATTGAAGACATTTCTTACGTCCAATTACCATTGCGTAGTTGGACGTGTGGTTCCTTAGTGCATGACGCACCTCGCGCGTGCACAGTGAAAACGGCTCTCGTCAACGTTTGCCAGGTCATTTAGGTCATTTAGGCTATAAAAAGTGGTCGTAGGAACCAAAAAGGGCAAAATCACAAAGAAATGCGAAAATTGTGGTTTGCAAGTGTCATGAATTTTCTATCCGCCACTATTTTTTCTTATAGGCCTAACTGGTCTTCTTTGTAGTGTGCTATTGAAAACGGCCGGGAAAACATGGACAGACCAGCCTCGGGTAGGCTGCAGGCTTGTAACTGGGACTTTTCGTGTGTGGGTGGGTGTATGGGGAGGGGGTGCGAATCTTCAAAAAAGCGGACCAAGCAGAAATCGTTTACTTTTTTAAAAACAGCAGGATTCATTAGGTCGTACCAACTGTTTAGGGGGTTACAAGTAAACTCCAGGCCGATGCGAAAGTTACCAAAGAGCACGGCATTTTTTTGTCTTGATTTGTCCAACAATCGTCAACTAGCGTGCCTTCGATCAGAAGAGATCGTCTGATTGTAGTTAACAGTGGTCCCTGAATTTGCCCCTGATTGCCTGCAAACAACATGACGTCACAGGCATAATACTTTTTGAGGTGTTCTTGATAAATCCCTTTCCTATAAACTGCAATATTTTAAGTGTGTCATTTGAAAGTTTAATCCGACTGCTTGGACCGGCACAACTGTACACGAACGTCGTATCAACGAAAGCATGCTTCATTTGACCTTTTCATGACCTTGTCTATGGAGCGTCTTGTGTTACAGGATTACACAAACGACCTGGCACATAATAGAGCGCCTTTGATAGAAAATGAATGGCAATGAAAAACTACATAAACTATAAGCACAAGTTTGTTGAATGATTACAAAGTAACTGGTACCTTTCTGGTGATTTCATAGAACACCAAGAGGGTAGTTTCTCACACTTGAAGAAGTCTTCACTGCCATCCAATCGGCATGATCGGCATGAAATATCGCCACTGCATTCGTATTTTGAGCCTTCACATGACACAAAAATGAAGTGTTTCAACGGTATATGCAATAATTATGGGTTTATACCTGTCATACCCCTTAAGAAAGAAGTCGGTGCTCGACCGATCTTAATTAAATGTTCGTTTGGAAGGGCATCAGGAAAATGGAAGTTGATAATGCCCGAGACGAGGGTATGGTGCCCCTGCCATCAAACATCACATCACACATTGAAAATATCTTCACAAATATTTTGCGAAAATATTTGTAATGTCACAAATTCTATCGCAAAAAACTTTTAAAAAATCAACTTAAAAAAGCCTCAAGTTTCTTGAAACGTAGCCCGTATTCGGACTAAGGAACAAAGTATGTGACAAAATTTGCGACATTTGAAAATATTTCAAGCAAACATTTGCAACGAAACATTTGCAATATTAATTGCAACATCGCAAAAATATTTGCAAACGTTTCTAGGGTCACCGAATGAGGGACACTGGGCAGCCGATGATGCTGGCCAGGTGATAATGACATCGATATTACCCGAGCCGAATAAATGTTCTTTGCCAGTCACGTCCCAAACTGGCCAAGCACATAACCCCGTACCTTAAACTGGCTACGTGACCGGCTCTCGACCAACAAAAATTGCTGCACTGTCTTAAGTATTATAATGAACTTTTAAAACTCTGAATGAAATTGTTATTTCCAAATTAAATTAAACCCTTTGCATTGCCAGCCCCATGGAAACAATTTGATATATATATAAAAACGGACAGGGGAAAAATGATGAAAGGGAATACCAATCACCAGTTCGCTTGAAAAAAAAAGAACAAAAAAAAAAAAAACCAGTTGTTTACTGTTTATCTGATCTTAGCTGGTGGGTGCTTTGCATCCCGGAAGTAATCCAAAGGTCTTGGCACTACCCATTGGATCAAGCAATACATGCACTAAATTATATTGGTCTAGTGGTAAGAAAACACTCTCACTTCCAGTAGTTTTGCTATTTCTTGAGAACCATCGATGGAAAGCATAACTATTGGTGTATTTCTCTTTAACTCTGGAGTCAAAGCCTATCTCTCAATGTAACCAATGTAACCATCACCACTGCCATTGCTTCCAACTAAATAGCATCTCCTAAGTGAAAAACTTCACATACATTTTGGGCTAATGGTGGGGGGGGGAACAATTTCTGAGCAACTTTACCCGAGCTTTTTTTTTTCTTGCAGAGGAAGGATGTACACGAGCCGCTTTCTTCACTATCAAAAAGGAACGCAGAATTATTTCATTAACCACACGAGAAAATGCGATCACTGCCGAATGTAAACTGCAGAGCATCTGTCCAAAAAACAAACAAACAAACAAACAAACAAACAAACACCCCAACAAACACCCCAACACCCCAACAAACAAACAGACAAACAAATTGAAATGCAAGCAGATACATCCATGTAACCCACTCCAGAATGTGAAGAGAAAGACCATTACTACGTGCATATCCCCATCTTTTCCATACAAAAATATACGAAATGCGACGATTGTGACACCCTCCATTTTCCAACTACAAATGAAGGTTTTGATTAAAAAAGTCTTTATTTCTGCTCGTTGAGACAGATTTACGACTTCCCGACAGACATTAAATTGATGTCCCCTCCTGGTAAGTCCATTTGAAAATGGTTCCATGGAATACTTGGAATTTTGACGGGTCTGAGTGGTATTGATGCTTGTAAAATTGAAACAAAAAAGGTGGGACAAAAATATGGAAAATTTAAAAATTTTAACGATTAATTGTTTTTGGCCCTACATGATTTTTGAAAACGTGTTATAAGAAGGTTTCTTCTACCAGTGTTGGGGATTTTATTTCCTGAAAAAAAAAATGAGCAAAAACCAGTTACACAATATTGGGATCACCCCCTTTCTGTCAAATAGGCTGCTCAGCAATAGTGTAATTAGCATGGAGACAGTTAAGAGCAAACGGAATGTTCCACCTTTCCTCATAGAATTTACAGGCAGAGTTATGGGTTTCGTTTAGACTAGCAATAAATGTGAGTGGACGCTGAAAAGTGTCAATAAATGTGAGTGGACGCTGAAAAGTGTCCAGTCATGGGAAAGGATTACGTCAAGTTTCTTGGTCACAGCGATGGGAGAGAGAAAGCCAATCATACTGCCAAGATTGGTAAGAGTGCTCACCCAGAGTCATCTTCACAGTTTTCCCAAGGCTCTACACCTGGATCGGTTTGTACGCAAATCAAGAAAGCACAGATGACGATGGCACACAACAGCAGGGTTGATCTCGTTCCCGCCTCTGGTCTCATGAGTCCAGCAGAGGTGGTGATAACCGACGCTTGTAGAATTGTTTCAGTAATATTCACTTGCAAAACTTTTTTTTGCAACTCCGATATCTCCTACACCCGAAACACTGGTGAAAGAAGCAACGGCGCTCAACACTGCACACTAATATGCACCGCGCACTTACAAAAAATCAAGTGCAAAGAGGAAAAACACTATAATTTTTTATAGTGTGTTAATTCTATCAAGGAAATGCTGACGTACCGGACCACTTCCGAAATTTTCTGTTTCGCAAAACGCAATTGGGCAGCAGGCACTGACTAGCCGCACATCAACGCGACTGTTTTGTTTTTAAGAATGTGGCCAACCGGAAAATCACATTTACCGCCCAGACACATGGACATTCGATCGAATTTCCATGAAACTTAGATCTAACTGAAAAATGCCAGTGGGGAAAAAAAGAGTCAATGATTTAAAAACACGGCATGTACAAGCACAAGTTTCGGTGAGTTTAAAACCAACATGGACAATTTTACACCGGCAATTTAAGCACTCATTATGCATAACCGGAAAAGCGTTCTGGTTAAGGGCAGTTGTACGATAAGCGCCCATGTGTCTTCTCTGCTTCCCATGCATATATAGCACCCTGTTTCTTTGGCCTGACGTGTTTGGCTGTTCGAAATCTCGTGCTCTCTGCCTTTGAAGTGTATACCCCAAAACTGTTTTAAAATGCTATAAGCTTCATTTAGGCAGTTCATAACAATATTCCCATCTCTACATGTGCCATTCAATAGCTGTCGGCGGTCTTATCCTTTCTAAAGGAGGAATTAGTTGTTAAAAAAACATACGTATTTCCGACGCATCGTCAGGTATTTTTATTTCTAAAACCAGATCTCCGCAAGCGCAGCTTTCGATATTAACTTAAATGTTTACTCGCAGTTCTCTTTAAAGAGACGACGACTTCCCAATTTCAATGCGTTAAATATCTTTCACCTTTTGGTTTGGAAATGATTGGTTATGGGTTTGAATGAAATAGGCCTATACATTGATAGCGATGGAAGGAACACATTAGCGTTACAATATTGGGAAAAAATCCTTCGGACACATTGAACTTTTAATGCGAACTCAACAATCGGCCTGACAGGACCTCGGTTCAAGATGCATTAATGAAAGGGGAAATAAGTCTTGAAATAACAGGTTAGGTCGGGTCAACATATCTCAAAATGAAACAAAGGTTTTATGTTTCAGGAGCTAAACAACTGTTTGCCCAACCGAAATTCATTGCCAGACTACTATCCTACTCCCCTGAACACACCTTTAGTGTTTTCATACACTCTTACCCTAATAAAAGAATCCGGTTTTCTTTTAAGCTTCTCGCTTTCAAAGATTTTATTGAAACTTGAAATGTCCCCACAGACATTTGTGTTTTGTGTCAAAGATCCGGACAGAAAATCGGCACGGGTCTATTCACACAGATCGTTTGGTTTACTTGTCTTTCCTTTTATGGCATGTGATATTTTTCATATTTATTCTAGGGTGGAGCAAGTTTTCACCCTTGCTTCGACCCCACAACACCCACGCAGAACTATTTCAAGCTAAATGTGTTCCAATTCACCCATATTACTCTATGAACAGATGTAGCACCTGTCCCATGGTAGTGCACACCGTGTTCTGCACTTCGGTTGAGTCGGCTTGTCACGTCTATTTATGTTAAAATGTGTTCGTTGCTTTTCCATCTAGTGCTAATTGAACTATAAAAATTTAATTTTGCCCAGGCACAGGAGAAAAATTCTGCATACAACAAAACATCGGGGCTTCTGTCCTTTTACAATAATCCTTTCGGTACTCCCTGCTTTTTCCAGAAAAACACTTAAAAGCAGATTTTAATGTAATATGCTTTTTCCTGCTTAAGCATAATGTAAGCACACCGTGCCACTTAATAGACTCGACAAGTTAGAATTTTTCTGCTGCGCCGCTGATCACCACAACGCGGGAGCCTTTGGCAAACAACGTTTTTTGTGCCATAACAGAGGTCTATTCACACACGATTTTTTTTAATTGTCCAAGCATTCAGGAACAGCCATCCCGCACGATAAACACATTGGCATGGTCTGCTGCGTCCATTTAGGTTGCAGGTTTTCCCACGATTGCAATATTTTTTTTGGCATTACACTTCCTTCTGTGAATTAAAAGTAATCGATTCTTAAAATCTATTGCAAAATGCAAATTACACGTAGAAATTTCCGTTAAAACACATTTCCTTTACAGTACTCCTTTTAACTGAGTATTTATACAGAGTAAGTACCGACATATGTGGGGTGTTTAAAGCGATAAAAGAAAATATCTGTGTACAAAAATGTGGGATGGTTCTGTTTAAATATGACTATGCTAACACTGAATTGAATACATGAACATGTGAAGCTGTCAATGATCCGACATTTCTAGAACCGAACCTATAAGGGAGAACCGTTATATTGCTTTTCAAAAGGGGTCACCTTGTGGGAGACAAGCTCATCGACACTCAATTGTGTCTGTCATCTGGACTAGGGTTCGTCCCACATTTACGCATTCAGTCACAAAACTTCTTACAATTTGAATGTGTAAGTGCAAGTTAGTCACGGTCTAGTCTTATCAGGACAGGCATTTTGATATTTCTGTTTCACGTAGTGGGAGTTTCCACACCAAAGCCACGGCACGCGTCTTGTTTATTTCGCATGACTTTCATCGGGCCATGTGACTTTGTATAATTAAAGTACAACAAAATAATAAGATTTCTTTTGTTGGGGTGTTGTTTGGTGGTTATATAATTTGATGGATGATTTCTGGATCATTTAAGTATTCTCTGTGTTATCCTGATCGGTCTTTTTAGCCCCTTCCAACTGAAGGAGATCATATTCAGCTTTGCCCTTCAGATGCTCATAATTACTGCGAGCGTCTTCAGTTTCGTTCTGTCGCTTAATTGTAGTTCTGCTGAGGTGTTGGTATGGGCTCGTGACGCTGTTTTCCGTAGTTGCGCCGGTCACTCTTTCTGTCTCGTCCCCATAGCTCTCGTTTCGTGTCTGGAGATCGCCATAAGCTTTTCTCGTCAGTGGCTGGTAGTGCGTGATCGACCCTTCGAGTGTATCTCTATTGAGTTGTTGGTAGGAGTTAGAGGTGCCGTTGTTCTGTGCAGGGCCTGCCATACTCACTTCCTCGTACGCGGAGGTTTGGCTCTGGTGCTCGCAGAACTCCTCTGTCGGATGCACTTCAAAATAGGCATGATCCATTCCTTCCTGAGAGGAAGAATCTGACAAAGAGGCTGTCACTTCACCATTAGCAACTCCGTCCCATTCGACATGTTCAGAGTTCACTTCATTATCAGTTGGTCCCTCCAGAGAAAAATATGGGTGTGCGTCCGCGGCCTCCGTAGTTGGAAAACGTCTTGGCCCTGCACACCCTGGCCCATTAAATACGTAGCGTTCGTTCCCTTCTGGGTCACCATGCTCACCTGCCCTCATTGTCGGGTTAGAATCCTCGGTCACAAGCGCAGTTGGTTCCTGTGGCCAGTGGTCATTCTCATAGGAGTACTCAGCATCACCGAGGACCGGTGATTCGGGTAACTGTGCTCTGCTGGAAGCTTTTATCGTGGAGGAGGAAAAACAGCCGACAAAATGCTGAGATTATTATTTTGATTATTCTGCATATTATGTTTGTTGTAAAATTCTGTTAAGTCCAGCTGGTACACAATACATGCATTCAAGTTTTCCATTCTGGATTCTAAGGTTTTCCTGAAACTTGTTAGCTGAACAAAGTTAAACTGTTGCGCATAAGTTCTTCTCAGTGAACGCATTGTTGAAAAAAATGAACGGACAAAATCTGAAATTCTCGACTTGTTTCGGAAGTACGTTTCACAATGTCAATCTTGAACCACGCCTCAGATAGCTGGTGTTTCGTGGCACGACACAGGTCCGATCATAACGTTAACTCTGAGATCAGTGACTCTCCCACAATGGCAGGCTTGAACTAGGCCTAAGCTAATTGCAGTATCATCTATCCAAGGACGAAAAAGCTTTGACTCCCACGGCCAGGATGAAAACCCAATGTAAATATTAAGACACTACAAAAATGACCTCGGTGTGGAAACATTTTACAATACAAAAATATTCTCGATTTAAGAGCTGAGTCAGTAAGATAATGCAATGTACCTGCGATTTGTTGAGCAACGTGGGACGGGCTGTCGCCGCGTGTCTATTTTAGGAAGTTTGAACTGAACTTATTTTATAGTGATCGGTTTTGTAAACGAATAATTGGCTTATACGATACCTGTTCTTCCCAACTCAGCACATTTTGACTCGTCTTCTTGCGCTCTACAAAGTTAGAAATGCCCATAGTTACTATGTACACATGACAGCATTATGGTAATCCATATTTAACTTGGGGATTATGGACAAACATATATCACATCTCATATATTAAAATTGCACATTACACGAAAAAATCAAGGCTCACATAAAATTACGAGACATAACCGGAGAATTTAAATCGGTTGCATTGGATACTTACGATGGTTTCTTCATCAGAGTAGACAGGATCCTGCATCGCCACAGAATGACCACCACAATAATCACCAGGAAGACAAGAGATAAGACTGCCCCTACGACTATGGCAATGACGTTTGGCTGAGGACTAGGGCGTGTAAATTGAGGACTAGGTGGTGTAGATGTTGCAGAAACTGGCTCTGAAATTCCATTTGAGCAGCTGCTGTTTTAGAGAATTAAACGTGCACACGACATGTAAAAACAAAACTTGACGAGATTTCGTCGAGATTTAAACTTCCCTTGCTTTGTTTACGTTGATAGTTGTAAATAACACACTTTCAATTGCCCTGATTGAGATTTCCCTTGGAAAATAAACTTTGAATATTTATTGCGTATGATTATACGCAGTGTCCTTTGCCCGTCCTCGATCATGCCAAAGACAGAAGACGCCGCTACAAGATCCTCCCCCTGCTAAGTTGCATTGCGCTGTGACTACTGTGCAACTCCCGCATTGGTCTCATCGGTCATATGAGTCACCCATGCTGACACTGCAGTCTCAGGCTCAAAACTGATACCTAAGACACATTTGCGAGGACAAACTTCTGATCAGCACAGGCTGCAGTTAATGTCAAGGCGGATCCGGAACCAATTTTGGAGGAGACGAAAGAGTTTAGAGCGGTGGCAAAAGTTTGGGGAATTTGTTATGTAATCTTTTATGGCCTTTAATTCTTAATGATGAGGATATACATTTCGGGGATCTGCCGGAAGGGGAATGGAACAGTTCAAAACATCGGCAAATATGTCGGGGGAGTTACTCCAGTGAAGTCTTAGTTCTGTAAAAGAATTCTTAAACGAGCCTTCATTAATCCTCACCTTGTAATTGGAGACCCATTTTGATAAACGAAAGTTGGCAATGAAGCATCGTTTCTACATTTGCAAAACGGAGCGTATTCCTTTTCTTCTTGGACGGGGTATATACACGAACACTGCCTCCCAGCATACTGACACACGATGGCATCTTCATAACGGCAATACGGACTGTCACACGATCCTCTACACAATTCAGGGCCTGCAACTTAATCAACATACCCAATTTGCCTTTTGAGACTTAAATTTGAATACAATCTGGTACACTGAGTTAATATGATTGCACATTCAAAGTTTTAAAAATGAATTTTTCATAGAATAACTTTTTGTGTATCTCTGTACTCTTCTTCCATGTACGAAGACTGTTTGACATCTTTTTCGCGTTACGTGAACTGAAAAAAGCACTTTTTAAACACTCAAAATTGCCCAAGCATTTCTGGACAAGTGAGGGCGCTTTTGCTTTGGTGTAAATCCAGGAAGACATAAGTCAGTTTGCATGTTTTCATGTTCAAATTGTAATCTCCAAATTTGCTATTTGAAAACATTTCTGTGGAAAAGTTGTTTGCTGGCTTATTGCCACGTACTCACAAACCAATAAATTGTCAAAGAAAATGAAATCTACGATAGCAGTGTTTAAAAAAACAAAACACTTTCTGTGTACAAATCAGTGCGCCCACTGAGATTCCGTGATTCAGCTTTGCTTATATGCAAAGTTACATTAGCATAAAAACCAAAAAAGCTCCATAATACGGGTTAAAATTGCAAACAAAAATTTCAAATAAGGTTAATTGAAACCCAAATATTTCTATTTCATGGTCCCTTTAATTTGCTACACTACATGTATATGCTATACTGTTACTATTGTACCTCGTGATTCGGGGCGAACTCTTGCATGGCGACCACCATCTCCTGAATGGACTGGTTCCTTTGTGTCCTTACCATTTAAAACAGTGTATTGATGAAAAGCGTCTCTTGTGTAACTGAGCAAAAGCTTGCCCGAATCACGAGGTATAGCAACAGTGTCTTTACTATGGTGAATTCAAATCATGTTCTTGTGAATTAAAGGAACTCGTGTTCCATATTTTACCACACTTAGCTCACAAAGAGCTTATTATCAGCACGTATACACGAATGATTCTCTTTGCCTATAGAGTTTATAGCTCTCATTGAACCAAACGATGTAAATTTCTTCACAAGATCTTCTTCAACTTCTGTGCTGAATACATTTACTCCACAGTTCTGTCTAGGGAACAAGGCTTTCTATTGCCCTTTTGACGGCTTTTTGCTTGTACCAAATAATCGTTGGTACCAAATAGTATTTTATGTTTAGGCAATATTTCGGAAAAAAATCGGTCAACTCATGTCATCCCTGCTTCGTCATATACCCATATCTACTGATTCAGACAAGCAACACATAATGTTCCCTATGTATACCGTTCTTTTCAGGAACAACGGAGAATGGAAGATCTGAGTTCACTTACTCGCATTGTAGCAAATAAACGAGTCAGTTGAGGCTTTACAAATTGTACCGCAAAGGCTACGGCTGCCGTGCGGGCCACTGGTACATGATGCACTGAAAGAAAAATACTTGTGAGCACTGATTCTCATCAAAATTAATTCAAAATGAATAAAAATGGCTGGATCTTATGAGAATTATGAGTACCCACTAGGAAACTGAAAAGTTCGGGATATCCTTTAACAGTATACAAATGTTTTGTGGAGGAATAACAAAATAGTACAGCCTACTTTTTTTATCCGCTCTGTCAAGCTCACCGGGCCGTTTATTTTTTATCCCAGAATCCAACGAGAAAATAATTACAAACATTCTCCTTAACCCCAAATCAGAAGCAGCCGCCAAGGCTGTTCTTTAGCCATGGGGGGGGGCTAGACCCTTCGATCGCGACGTCTTCTTTTAATTTTAGCTACTGCTCTTTCACTTTGGGAGAAAAAAATTGTTCATTATATTACGCATGATAACCCTGCAAAATGATTATGAACTATTCATTTTAACAAATTAAATGCAGAATTAAGATTAAAATATTTTCCAGCTTTTTTGACTTTTCTTTTTTTGGGGGGGGGGTTGACGAAAGTTTTTCTTGAGGGGGGCTACACGAAAACTTGGGGGATGCAGCCCCTCGCACCCCCCCTGAACTGCGCCTGACGGCAGCTAGTAAATGCTAAAACCCGTTCACATTCTTAATTATGAGAGACAAGTGAGGTTGCAGCGCAGTTTGTCTATACATGTACATAATTAAACACTGATTCATCCCTATTCAACAACGTGCAACTTGACTATGTATTAACCTTGATAATGCCCGTTAAGAAGTGGTAATGCCCGCTGGGTAAATTATACGCATGCACCTGGATACGAAACAATTTAATCGATTCTGATGGGTTAAGAGTCTGCGTGCACGTGGCTCACCACACACGTTCCAAGTCCATAAAAGGGTGCAGACCACTAATTCAAGGGAGAATTTCTGGCCAGCTCATTAGCATTAAAAGTGCCCCCCACAGTATCTTTTGAAAAAGGAGATTGTTTGGCCCCCAAAATGGTGAGATTGTGTAAATCGTTGCCAGTATCAACTCCCTGGGTCTTTGAGCTTTCATATGAGGGCAGAAGGGCTGAAAACTACGGTTGAAAAATGGTCCCAAGTGCCCGAGAAAGTTGAGGGTTGCCACTTGAAAAATGGCTGCAATCAGACTTCGGAAAAATCACTTTTTGGGGGGTGATTTTGTTTTGTGGGAATAATTACAAAAGTAATTGATTAACCCACAAAAAATTGAAAAGAAATTGAAAGATAAGTGACCAGACAAGATTTTCATTTGTGTTTCAGAAATCTCAGGGATGTTGGCGTGTATGCTATTGGGCCCTGAACGGTTCTGATTTTACACTGTTTTCAACGGGGCTTGAATTAGTGGACTGGACCCATAAGGAAATTCTTTGGACAACTACCAAAAAAAAAAAAAAAGAAATAGAAGCGAATGTTTGGGAGACGAAGATAAAAGTAAAATCCTACAACAACATTGTTGGAAATCAGTCAGATATTGACTTCTTTTGACCCGTCTCTCTGACTAAAAAGGGTATTTATAAATGGGAATAAATATGTACTTATGGCTGGTTTTAAACTACGTTTAAGACTGGCTCAGTAGATTGAACGCTGACTTAGTCGCGTCCATCCAATACTCTGCCGTTCTTAACGCACGTTTAAGACCGGCCAAAGCATATATTTATTTCCTTATTCAAACTACCTGATTCGCCAATCATGAGCTGCGATCACTGACCTACAATTTATATTAGGCAAGAAATTTAAGGTACACACGGCTGTGTGTGTACTTCTTAATTTCTTGTATCTAATCACATTCTCACATAATATGTAACCATATATACATGTTACATGTATGCGCATTATGGTATCAGAGAACTGAAGTGTTTGTACATTAAGTTTAATTAAGAGTGCACTCGTTTTACTGATGAATCTTACCGTTATGGCCAACGATTGATAAAACTTCATTTAAACAAAGTACCCTTGAAAAGTGAATAATCATCTAAAAGTTGGAACAAAATTATGTACAAGTATATACCAGGGGAATTACCGTACGTTTTCGTCAAGCGATAAAAAAAATCCGAGGAGCACACTGAATCGTCAAGGACATACTTTTGTATTAAGTGTTAACACTATACGCACATGAATGCAAAATACAAAGTGAACTCAAAAGTTGACATCGATTTACCTCGCATTATGAAGCTCGACGTTCGAACAAAAATGCCTTCTCATATCGTGTAATACTTTCCGGTTTGGTGCCGCGCCCTGTAACTCTGGTGGGAGTGTGATTGCCGAACATATGATCCACAGCGCCGTATGGACCAAGGCGATAAAAGCCGTCTGGAGCATGTTGAGTCTGATTCCTGTAGATGTCTCCTGGGGCCTGGTTCCTTAGTTTTGTGTACAAATCCACAAAATTTACCGAGACCGTAGCAGCACGTATCTAGGTGTTGAGTGCAACAAGGAAATAAACTTGATATTTTGTTCCATGCGCAAGACTCATTGTGAGTGCTAGTGGTAACCTACCTATCATTCTCAAACGTCATGCACCATTGAATTCCTTTGTTATGAAGACGATGACCTTCAACCATTGACAGGCCCAGTACGAACGCTTGGGAAAATTTGTCAAATCAATATTGGCTCTGCACTGCTGCACATCCCCAGTGTATATAAAAGATGACAACTTCGGTTTTTAAGGCAATACCCAGGTGAAAATTGAAATGCGAATACGGTCGGCTTCTTGGTGCACATCTGGCAGTTTCAGGAATTCATGTTAAACTCAAATGTCTCAGAGTTAAATGAGTGGCCAGGGCTTCCTCAGGTAGTGACTGAACTGTTCGAAATTCTGTTGTTTCTACATGTAGTTTTCATTGCAATAAGTTTGTTGTGAAAAACAAAAATGGTTTCTCAAATAGTAAAAATTATTCTCAGCACCTTGTACGAAGGGGACGATTTGGTCACATTTCTCCCTCTACACTCAAATTATGCACATGACTTACTAAAAACATGCAATATTTAGGTCCCTATAGCACAAATGCTGTCAGCAGAATTACCGAACGGGCTTAGTATTCAGGGAAGTATGAGAATTTCATACTCAGTCTCAGTGAAAGTCCACGTATTTCTAGTTTGTTACCTTTCACCTTATCAGAGAATGGTTTAGGAGAACTTTCAACATCATTGGTCTTCACTGACATCTCCGCATTCGGATTTGGGAGTGTAGCCTCATAAACTGTAGACATTTCTTGATACCCATCCCGCCGATGGAGTATCCGCCCTAGGTTGAAGTGCACCCTCACCGACGAAAGAAAGACAGGCTGGTGAGAACGTTTTCCAACTGGGTGCCAGTTTCGGTAACGCAAGAAAAACATTAAGCATTGATTGGTTGAGCGTACTCAGCATGCCACGCGCCAAACGTGCCTAAACTTGTGCGCCTACGCGGTGAATTCGTACCAAAGACTGTCATTTCATTCAAAATCTTTTATTCCAGCTCAGAGCAGATAGGGAGATTGAAGAAGAGAGGAGAAGCGACGCAATAAACACCAATCTGGCTTTATCGTGGCTTTATCATCAAAAGCAATGTAATTAAACCGAAGCTATAGTCTTTTCCATTGTATCAATGCGTGGAGTTGTACTCTTTTGTCATTTGTTTTACAAGGACAAAGAGCAACAAGACAAACATGGCAGCCCTAGCCAAGAAATCTCTGTTTACCTGATAGGCATCGCACTGAGGCACTATCAATCTGTAGGTCTATCAATCTAGGCAGTGGAAAAATGCCCTCTCCTTGAAATTTCGCTTTCGTTTCGCTTTTTGGTGGGAAAATATAAAAGGTTTCCTATAACCCAACTTCAGCGTAATTTCTTCTGGGAAGGGGTATTTAGCGTTGACATGGTGAATTAACGGCTTCATAAACAACACTGTCCTATTAGAAGGCAGTGATTTTGTGCGGTCTAAGACTACGAGCAGTCATAGGATTCCACCAGCACCTGTTAAGAAATTTCAGTCTTGGTTTGCTGACATCGTTGATCAATATGGCACATTTTATACATGCTGTCTGTAAAGAGATGGAATCACCATATTTCACTTTTGGCAGAGACATTTGTATAAGTAATTGCGCACTACACCACAGATTACTCTAAAATATCATAGTAGTTTTCTCTTCCTGCGGCGGCCGCACACAGTTTGTGATTAGTAAAACAGTGGCGGCTTTGAGCTGATAGAATAAAGGTCTCCAAACCACATGTAACCATAAACTGAACTCTTCATAACGCAATGTGTGAAAAATATATGTAAACCACAAACTCAGCAAATAGAAGAAAAGATACTGAAAACGTAATCCAAAATTATATATTTCTCCATAACCGACTCTAATCAGTACATCATTTATAATATCAAAATTAACACAGCATAAAGAATAAGAATAAAACTGTAATCAAATTAGGATACTTAGTCCATGAAAAGTGGAGATTCATTTACATGTATAATTATGGAGACTCACGATATCTTTAATCTAAGAGCAACGATATAATGAATTAATTGACATAACACCTTGGCTGAGTTCTACTTCCAAAAGATCGTATTCCATCAGGGATATCATGAAAAATAAGTACATCCATTTCAGGATTTATATCATGAATATAGTTATTTGTACTTACGAACATTGACATGGCTATTTTACTAACATAGGGAAACGTGCAATTATAGAGGTGATTTCAGAAACAAGTTTTTATCGTTCGTCACACTGTGTTGCATATTTAGGTGTGATTCAACTCAAAGGTAACGTGAAACAACGTGCTGTTATATTATGAAGGTCAATTTCATAGAATAAACAAACAAACGTGACCATCTCTCAAGGGAAAACTGTACACTGTATGTTCACACAAGACTTCAATAAAATACAATTTTATTTAAAAATGCAAAAGGTTGCTACCGTGAGGGATCCCCCTCCATCGATAAATCGTGCGGAAGACGAATCTTTATAAATGATTGCAGTGCTAAGAATAACTTCAAGAGGCGACTGACTGAGTAAACGACCAATGAGGTGAAGCCGAGTGGAATAGAATATTCCATCTGTCACGATATGGAAATCTTATATGCACGTTTTTATTTGGGAAGCTGTTCATGTCAAAAGAGGCCACAAACAAGTGCTGCTAACTCAGAGCAAAGTTAAAGTCACGGGAGGGCGCTAATTCTATTAGAATTCAAAGAAGGTTATGTTTATGCTTCTCCGGGCAGTCACAAAGTAAAGCTAACCCTACAGTTCGGTTGTAATGCAGGAGTTATATTACGTGCATATGACAGTGACAAATATTTATCATGATTTCTGAATCACTGAAGTCATGCGTACGTTCATTTAATTGTAAATGTAATTTACTTTTCCGTCCTGTTTCTCGTATACCTCACCTCTAGAGTGTCTACCGAAATGCTAATAGCGCTTGCAACGCCGTCCTACCCAGAGCTCTCGTTTTGTGGGTTTGAGTTGTCAGCCTCTTTTCCCTTCAGTGGCTCGTAATCTACACTTGAACTCTCGAGTGTAGCTCTGTTGAGTTGTTGGTACTGGGTCGACTCGCTGCTATCCAGCGCTGTGCTTGCCTCTGTTACCTCCTCATATTCGGACGTCCCTTCAGTCGGATAGATTTGGTAAGAGATGTGAGAATCTCTTTCCGCAGAAGAAGCCCCTGGGGACGAGGCAGCCACCCCTTTCGCATCTCTTACACCCTCATTCCCCCACTGGCTCCGAGTGGACTCGTCATCTTTATTCCTTAATTAAAAGATATTAAAGACAGAAACTGCATCAATTTCTATAAAATATGTCTAAAGACAACACCGACTGCAGAAGCCGGTTCTTGTTCATAGGAACAATATTTGGAAAAGCATTTTGACCAGCTTTTGTTTGAATTGCGTCTTTGAGACAAACAGTGTAGTTCCTTTAGCCCTACCTACTCCTGATAACTGTTTTTGCTCCAGTGTCAGAAGTTTTGTCTACCTTGACACGACTGTGACCTGAATGAAAAGATCTCAACTTACGTCAACCAGCTGCCAAAACAAACGTGTCCCCGTCGTCTTTAAATATAGGAATGATACCAGGACGCTAAACAAACCTCAAAGGAAATGCAAAGTATTTAAACTATAAACTTAGGTACTTTTCACCGAACAACAGAGTGTCATAATGTGACACGTCAGAAAATTCCAGTTTTAGTATGACCCCTTCTGGAAATCAATAACGGGGTATACATACCTGTACTTTCCACCTCAGCATTTGCGGACGCGTCTGTACGTGCCCTGAAGAATAAAAAGGCCTTTACATGTAGTTTTGTTCACAGCAGATTAATTCTCAGGTTTTACGAAAGTGTATTCTAGTTGTCATAAACATTTCATTTCATCAACTTTGGAATATTTTGTTAACGAAGTGCACACATTCAAATGAAAATGAGAAGGTTGCTCTTTTGCAATTGTAACAATCACTGGGGAATCGAAATTGCCCGCATTGGGTACCTACGGAGGTTTCGACATCACAGCTGACAGTTTTCCCCTGTGCCAAAGGAATATCACCACCAGAAGTACCAGAAGACTAAATGCCAAGATCACCCCCAAGATGACATTAATTAGTTTGACCTGGCCACCGTCATTAGGTTTTATAGAAGTCACTGCTGTGGACGGCAGACTGCTCCCAGTCATTGACTGAAGACTTGAGGTTGTTCGAGATGTTGCCAAAACCGGTATCGCAGTTCCATTTGAGCAGGTGCTGTTAGAATGAAGATGGCGTACGCCAATTAAATATTAGCTTGACGACACCATTACACTAAATCGTGTCACATAACTCTGTCGTGCTGCATTGTTGAAGTGCCATGGAGCACTTGTTGGTTTAAAGTTTGGAGAAAGTACGAGATTGGTTGAGATTCTATCCCTGGCAAAGTGCCGTTGAATGTTTTTTCCAGGACTTTTTGATATTCATAGACATGAACAAAAAACTCAACAACAAAATTGTAAATCTCTAATTCGGATGTTCTCGGTATTGCTGCTATTATTATTGCATGCACTATGCAAATGTTCATACTGAAAATCCATCTACTCGATTAACCTCTGCACCTGTGCATCAAACTAGTTCGATAATCCTCACCTTGTAATTGAAGACCCATTTTGATAAACGAAAGTTGGCAATGAAGCATCATTTCTACAATTGCAAAACGGAGCGTATTCCTTTTCTTCTTGGACGGAGTATATACACGAACATTGCCTCTCAGCATACTGACACACGAGGGCATCTTCATAACGGCAATACGGACGGTCACACGATCCTCTACACAATTCAGGGCCTGCAACTTAATCAACATATCCAATTTGCCTTTTGAGACTTAAATTTGAATACAATCTGGTACACTGAGTCATCGGATTGCACAAAAATATAACAATTTGGAATCCCGACACTATAACGACACTGTTATTAAACCTCGTGATTCAGGGCAGGGTTTTGCATAGCGACCACCATCTGGACTGGTTTCTTAATGCCCTTCTTATCCATTAAAAACAACGAATTGATGTCAGGCATCTCTTATGTAACTAAGCAAAAGCTTGCCCCGAATCACGAGGTATACTAACAGTGTCTTTAGTATGGTGAATTCAAGTTATGTTATTGTGAATTCAAAGAACCCATTGTACCAGATTTTATTCACATTTAACTCGCATGGAAAAATTCTCTTTGCCTTAAAGTCTGTAACTTCATTCCTGACTCTCATTGGGTGAAACGATATAAATTGCTCTAGACAATATTTTCTTAAACTTCCGGGTTAAACACATTTACCCCCCACTTTCTACCTACGGTAGAAGACTTTCCATCGCCCTTCTGAGGGCTTTTTGTGTGTACCAAATAATCGTTGGTACCAAATAGTATTTGATGTTTATGCAATGTTTCAAAATAAAAAAATCCTGAGTGTTCTCATCATGAAATCGGTTAACTCATGTCATCCCCGCTTCGTCATATATCCAAGTCTACTTATTCAAGCAAGCGACACTTAATGTTCTCTATGTATACTGTTCTTTTCAGGAATAAAGAAGAATGGAAGACTTGACTTCACCTACCCAAATCGTAGCAAATAAACGAGTTGGTTGGGGCTTGACAAATTCTACCGCAAAGGCTACGGCTGCCATGCGCGCCATCGGTACATGGTGCACTGAAAGAAAGAGATATATTTGTGAACATTGTTTCTCACCCAAATTAATAAAAGGAAAAATCAAAACAGGGGTGGATAAAAAAAACAGAAAAGTTCAGGATTCCCTTGAATAGCATACAAATGTGTTGTGGGGGAATTAAAAAAAATAAAGTTAAGGCTGACTTTTTACCAGCTCCACCAGGCTCACTGGGGATTTTTTTTTATCGCAGAATCTTACGACAAATGATTGCAAATACTTTGCGAGGGCGCTTCTAGGATACTTTTTTTTCTCGAGGTGGGGGTGGGTGGGGGGTTAGACCCTTCGAACGTGACGTCACCTTTTTTTTTTACTTTTGCTACTGTTCTTTTAGTTTTGGAGGAAAAAAAACAAATGTTTATTGCACCTAATGGCCCAGCAAAATTATCATAAACTATTCATTTAATTACAAATAGATTGAATACAGAATTGAAATTCAAATATTTTCCAGCTTTTTAACTTTTTGGGGAAGGGTAGACGGACGTTTGGGGGGCTGCAGCCCCCTAGCAAGTAGCAACTCCCCCATAGAACCGCGCCAAACGGCCGCTAGTAAATGCTGGTACCTGTTCATATTCTTAATGATGACAGAAAAATGAGGTTGCAGTGCAGATTGTATGAACAAAATAATCCCTGATTCAATCTACCTGATTGCCCAACCATGACGTGCAATCCCTGACCTGCGATTGATTTCAGGCAAGAAATTTAGGATACATGACTGTGTAATTCCTGATTTCTTATTTTTGATCAAATTCTTACGTAATAGGCCTACGTAAAAATGTTTGTCCTTTTACTGCAAATTCGTTAACGTTGTTAAATACCATATACATGCTACATGTATGCGCATTGTGGTATCAGAGAACTGAAGTGCTTGTGCGTGAAGTCAACGAGTGCGCTCGTTTTACTCATGAATCTTACCGTTCTGGCCAAGATTGCTAAATCTTGATTGAAAACCAAGTACTCTTGAAAAGTGAATAAAAATGTACAAGTTGGAACATACGTATGTACCAGGTGGACTACAGTACGTTTTTGTCAAGCGTAAAAAAACCACGAGGAGCATAAAAGTGTCATATTATGGTCATATTTTTGGTCTCAAGTGTTAACACTGTACTTATGCACACGAATAACATGAATATTAAATATAAAGTGAACTCAAAAGTTGGCATCGATTTACCTCGCATTATGAAGCTCCGTGCTCAAACAAAAATGCCTTCTCATATCATGTAATACTGTCAGGTTTGGAAGCAAACCCTGTAACTCTGGTGGGAGTGTGACTGCCGAACATATGATCCACAGCGCCGTATGGACCAAGGCGATAAAAACTGTCTTGAGCATGTTGAGTCTGATTCTTGTAGATGTCTGCTGGGGCCTGGTGCCTTAGATTTATGTACAAATACCAAATCCGTAGCAGCACAAACCTAGGCCTTGAGTGCAACAAGGAAATAAACTTGAATTTACGTGCATGTGTTCGATGTGGAACACTCAATGTGCGTGGTAACCTACCTATTGTTCTCAAACGTCATGCACCATTGAATTTCTTTGTTATGATGACGTTGACCTTAAACCACCTTTAATTTAAGATTTTTTTCCAACAAAAAGTGCTTTTGTGGGTAATTCTGAAATTGCTCGACTACGTCATACTCTTCAACTGGAAGCAGCATAGGCATTCATTTATAGTTTTCTGTCAAGATTATTTTGGTAATTTCACATATTATAAAAATGTAGCATCCATAACTATTAAGTTGGTGTGCAGATTTGAGGCCATTTTTATAAACAGATTTGGGGCCGTCAGGCTACTTCTGTAGGTTGAAGAACATGGCGTTGCTCATTTATCTGATTATCCCCGAGACAGGCTGCCGAAAACGGAAGCAATGTCTGTGTCATGCTCACCTGCCGCAGCACTACCGATGATAACGCTGCAACAGATGAACCAAAATGAACAAATACCCCGGTGAAAATTGAAATGCGGATACGGTCGGCCACTTGGTGCGTGTCTGGTCCAGTTCCAAGATAGAATTCATGTCAAACTTGATTGTCTCACTTGCGTGGCCGGGGCTTCCTCACGTAGTGATTGCATTATTCAAAATTCTATGTTTCTATATGTAGTTTTTATTGCAATAATTTTGTTAAGAAAACGATATACATTAAACTATAAACGGTGAAAAGAGCTATACTTTACGATACAAAAAAAGAAAAAGAACAAAAAAGTTTTTAATAATAATAAAAATATATTAGGGACGATACAAATTTTCAGTTATAATAATGTCGATATTTACAACGAAATCTAAAAAGTATGTCTAAAATTATTCTCACTTTCCGAACCTTGCAGTTGGACTTACAGAATTACACAAATCTGATACTACTTCAAGTTCGAATGCAAAAATTACCAGAAGTTCATGTAATCACACATCTCTTTCGTCGATTCGTTGTCTGAAAGAAAAGTGCTTTTCCCTCTTTTACTCATTTACGACTTACAGTTTACCAGTAAAAATGTCTGTTATTTTTCTTGTTTTTAATTACGCTTTACTGGTCAGGCACGATGTGATTGTAATTTGTGTGCCCACCCAAACTGTCATAAGCTCCACTGTCCTTCACTGATATCGGGGCCTCTCTTGGCCTCTTGTCGGATACCCTGTTGAGGTGATCGTACTGGGGTGATTCCGTTTCTCCCTTGGCTACAGTTGCTACCCTGGCAACCTCGTATCCGGAGTTTTCATTCAGGAACGGTTGTACTTTAGTCGGTAAAGTGGCTGGATTATGATCGTCTTTATGTGCAACCGGCGCAGAACCACTCTCTTTGCTTTCCTCCTTCCCAAGATCCTCTTCCTTCTCCAAAATAAAATACTGTGGGTCGCTTGGAGCCTCTGCACTAGCGGATGGTCTCGCAGAGTCATCTTTCGGTGCGTGTCCTACATAGCGGACGCTTCCCTCCTCGGTATTTTTGTGTAGTTTGAAATAATAATGATCCTCTTGACCCATCTGATGCTCAAGTCTGGGCTCCTCCTTTTCGGGGTTGCTGAGTTCCTGTCCCCAGTGACTGTCTACGTACGCATAATCATGAACCTCGTCGGGTACCAGTGAATCGGGCAACTGAGTAGTAGTGTTTGGAGCTTCGAAATAGAAGTAACAATGTTCAACACTGTGCATTCAATCAAAAAGTTATATGAAACAATACCTTGGAGATTTTCAACATACATTTTACATCAATTATTAGCTGCCATTTCAAACATCTGAGAAGCTCACGTACTTACCATTTTCGTCTAGTTTAGTACACGATGAGCCCTCTACTTTCCTGAAAGTGAAAAAGTTAGTATTAAAAAACTGTCTTGAAATGAAAGAGCCAATTGTTTGAAGTTAAACAAGAAAATTTTTGTCGTCTTTAAAGAGCATGGACCTGCCTTCAAGCACATCTTTCAAAATTATGAAGTTCGTCTAAATTTACGTGTTATGTAAAGGCCTACGTATACCGCATTTAAATTTGTTTGTTTTGCTTGATACAAATTACTCCAGTGAGACTCGTATCTATGAACAGCCAACTTAGACGGCGACAATGAAAACAAAAGGGGTTTGTCAATCAACTCGTGCACTGCCCAATGGGTTTTTAATTATCTTCATGGACATTTAGTTTATGCAAAATTAAAGACGGTGGTTTCTTCAACGGGAATTTCCAATCTCTCCCATTATTTAACCTAGAACACTGCCAGAACCTTAAAAATCTACTTGCAAAGTTTCACAAACGAACACAAACCCCTCAATATAAATGTAATGGTGGCTAAGTTCCAATTCTAGATTCCAGCAAGGTCGAACAATGCTAGTAAACAATGTGGTAGAATAATAAACAAGCCCTTCTCGTTGATCCTATCTAACTAAACATGTACACTTCTGAAAGGGGTTTCACTGGACCTACGTGTTGTTCGTCTCATGACGAGCCGTAGGTCCTCTCCTGTGCCAGTGACACCAAACACCCACTCCGATGATCACGAGTAGCAAAACTGCAGACAAGACGCATCCCAGGGCTAGTGCCGGCAGGTTAATTGCTGTTCTGGCATCTGCGCCGCCGCCACGAGGCGTGGTAGCTGAGGATGCAGGCCCGGTCGGCAGCGGTGGAGGAAGGCACAGCCGGTCGTTCTGGGGATCGGCCCCGAAGGGACACATCGCAGACTGGGTTGTTGGCGGCGGAGGTAGCTCGGGGTTCACTGGACGGTCTTGCCCACCGGACTCATCGGGTTCAACGACACAGCTTAGAGATAAAAACAGACGGGGTTTCGGAGTCTGTATGGTGGGTTGGGACCTTGATTTACGTGTACAATGTATATTGTAAATACGCTCACCAATTTAGGAGGGAATGGGTTCTTATACCTCGCAATGAAACTTGGAAGGGTTTTACTCGTAAGGTATAGAAAACTGCTGAGAATACAATAATGACATGACGTCGGTGAAGGACAAAACCCAGTATTTCAAATTTAGATCTTTCAAACAACAATATAATAACCATAAAGATCGTTTGCAAAGTGAAGCGAAACTGTACTCCTAATCTTTCTTATAGATATATCATTTTACTTATTTGTGGACGTTAGGTGCCCCGGAGACAAGTTGCACTTTTTAGGATATAAAAACGTCTACACTTAATAATTATGTAACAGTACTACCACTTTTTGGGGGTCAACGTTTCTTTCAAACACTAACTTGGGTTTCCCTCGTCGTCCAGAGCCCGAACACGGCGCTGGGAACGGCTCATGGCCTTGCACAGATTGTGGTCAATGAAATACATCACACCGGGTCACAGCTAACGACGCGCAGAGCATTGTGGGTAAATTTCTGTCAGGCGCGAAAGCGCTCAATGTGGCAGTTATCGATTCGATACTTTTTCTTTTTCTTCCTTACTGCTGAACAAAATTCTTACTTAGTTCATCCAGAATCGATCAAGATAGCCAACGATTTGAAATGTATTGACAAAAGACACGTGATCAGTGATACTTAGTGAGAAGATAAATTACCGTGATTGTACCAAGGCCATGTTTTTATCATATAAGCCAACACTGCAGTCTGTGACGTTCAAGCGATGTACCATTGCCTAACCAAAACTTAAAATAATGCCGCGCTAACAGGAAGGGATAAAATCGCGGTCGGAGGTCATGCACGAAGTAGCCAATCAAAGTGCAAAGCCATCAGCCCTTCCCAGCGCCCTATTCGGGCGCTGGGCGACGAGCGAAAAACTTAGGTCAGCATTTTCGTGTGCGCTTTACAAGTGCACCTTGAAGTACACGTAAATGCACTGATTACGGCAGTAAGCAGCCCACAATGCTTTGCGAGTACAAGTCTTTCGCTCGTTATCCTGCGCTCTGCGCTTGGTGACGAGTGAAGTATATGTCTCTACCTAGGATGTAAGTGAAAGGATTCACCCACCCAATCGTGATAGGGGCAGAGAGAACGTACAACCGACACTGCACTTCAGGACCAAGGACGGACTCGCAATGCGTTTGTACGGACTGAATCTACCTGCGTCCCATTTTACCGCGCCGGAATTTTGGTTTGCCTGCCATTGAAACTATAGATGCCATCTTTTGCCCTGAACAATGGTGCGCAAGCGATGTATGTAACTATTTATTAGTCGGTACGGTAAGCTTAGATGGCCGCTGGTGGCTTCAATGACCACTGTTGCTGACTTGGGGATTATGGGTCTAGATTGGGGGAGGGGGGGGCGTCCGTGTAAAGGACGCGAATTAACGAACTGGTACCTTTCCATAGGAGACTCTAACCAATACCCGGCCTCATCTTTGCATATGCAGAATGCCCTGTTCCTGTGGTACACGCAGGACCCTCTCATGTCCTCGTACTGACACACATTGGCGTCTTGGTACGCACAGACTGAGAACTGATTCTCTTCCTCGCAGTTCACATTACCTGCATGCGGGGGAAGAGGAAACAAAGGGGCTTCATATTCTCGGGGTGGGTTGGTAAATGGTCTTTCTCCTTTATGGCATAGGATCACGATCTCAAAACCTTCTCAAATCTTATTTTTTTGCTTAAAATATCAGGGGATTACCTCAAAATATAGACGCTTGGAGGAATAAAACTACGGCAATAGATTTGGCTTCGTCAATAAGCTGATATACAGGAAGCATGCATTATGCAAAGCAGGCTATTTCAAAGCATAATTCACCATGACCAATTGTGTCTTAGGTCTGAGAAAGAGAAAACATCTACAATATCTACCAATTTGGGAGCAATGTAGAAAAAGTTAACACGGCAGACATTTGCGCTTATTGTTTTTATATTTACAAACATTCGTCCAAACGAGCCCTTTCACACTTATCGGATGATCTCTTATAACGGAGTAGTTTTACTATGATTTTTTTTTTAAATATGTACATCAGAATGAGTACGCTGCACCTAAAAGACCCCGGAACTGCTGACGTCATACTTTGCTTATTCAAGACTACGGCTGGGTCTATTGTCTACGCGTGTCTACGCATTTCTAATGGAGTGAAGACCTAGACCTAGCTCTAGACAAGAGATTCGGATGCAGCCTTAGTGTTCCTATCGTGCTCAGTGGACCATGGCCCCCACTGGCTCCATCGGAAAGTGTAAATGAATGTGACGTCATCGGCACACAGACCCCTCTTGAAGTGCATCGTGAAGTACATTACCTTCATGACATTTACAGTAAGAGCAAATAATCAAGTAGCTGAAAAGTCAATAGATTTTTAGGACAGGAACCAGTCCAAGGGAAATCACGACCACAGGGTCGGGCGTAGAGCCTGAAAGTAAAAGGTCACTCCTTGAGCTTCCGGAACCCTCGCGCGGTTCGTCTATGGGGATTTTAGATTGGGCCGTCCTATCACGTTCGATGATGATTCCTAACTGAAACCACCCCAAGAAACACTCCTGTCGGAATTTTGCCTTTGTCCTTGTCTAGTAATATTAAGGAAAAGTCACCTGGAGATGGGTAAAAAACGAATTTCATTAACGACCTTTCACTTCCGGCAGTATCGTTCCTAGGTTCCCTTGTTCATGCACGTTTGTTTTCATTCCCCGTGCTAACGTGGAAACGAGCTTGTATAACGTTGCAAAGATTTACCTACCTGCATTCGATGGACTCTAGATTCAGTCGAGTTGACCTGGTACAGTTCTTGTCAGTCAAGGTTAGATTGTACGGTAGAATCTTTCGTTAAAGCAGGTTATTGCTTTAAGTTTATTTCCTACTAAATTACAACATTGTGAAGATATTTTGGTCTGTTTTTATTTCGGCTTTTACAGAAAGAATTCCATGAAGTATAATTCCGTAACTGATCATCTGCGGAGGAGACCACGAAATTACACTGTTCTTCGTGTATTTTAAATTTTCGGAAGTGACTTCTTTGAGGTCAGGTAATTTTTCAGTTTCCATAAATTTATATGCTAGCAAATATTTTATAAAAGGCCTGTTACGAATAGAGTTTTTATGAAGTAACTGAGCGAAAAAATATTACAACTTCTAAAAATTTTGGCACGTTATTTTTCCAATCCAAGGGTTCCGGAAGCGCGTCATCAGGGGTCAACTTTCAGGCTCTATTGAGAGCTATATCGCTGAGTCATTGAAGTAATGGATTATTGCATGGGTACAAGTGATTGAAAAGACAAGGAAATACGAAACCTTGTGTTCCTAAATCCCAGCACTGATGATTATGGCTCACGTCATCGGTGCGGCAGAGCTGCTCGCAAAGTGGCAAGACCGGACGGGCGAGGGTTGGCGGCGGCTGATCTACCCCTTCGCATCTATAATCACGGGAGGAGGAAATGGAAAAACTCAACAAAAAATGCAACAGTGTCGAAAAAAAATTCAACGAAACCTTTTTTTTTTTTCGAGGGGGGAGGAAATAACCGGCTATTGAAAAATCGAAAATGAAACGTCATAACACGTGACGATGGGGCCCTCTTAAAACACGTATTGTGGGTATTGGCTAAGTTTTTATTTAGGCTTTTGCCTTTTTTTACACGTTTTAGTGACGAAAAGATATCAGATACACCTGCATCAAAGCAAATCGCCTCTCTCTCATCTTTCTAAACTGTTGATGGCTCCTTGATCTCGACCCCTTGGATTCGCCCTTGGTATTAAGTTACGCATTTTGTACATTGAATTTCCACTTTCCATCAATACACATGCCCAGTTCTTTATTACAAACTCATCACAAAACTTTATTACAAGCGCAAAAACCTGAATTGCGATTTCAAGGCCGTCAATCCCGGGGATAAGGGGGATTTTTATGTCCCCGCTATTTTTTGGGAGGATGGGCTATTGCATCATCCCTCCACTTTTTAGAGGTGAGAAGAAAATGAAGGCGGATTCTGAGGAATATTTTGGACTTCTGAGCTACCACTTTGTATTTCATAGCACTGGAGAAGGGGTAAAAGGCCATAATGCTGCAACATCGTGACCAGAGGCAATGGTTCGTAATCTAGGGTCAAGGACATCACTCGACGGCCCGTGCACAAACCCTGTGAAACCGGTCTGAAAAGTGCTTCGTGTTTTTTAGGTTATCGCTTTAATGATTTATCATTGAAGGTATGTGTGTTTATGGAACTCTATCCATGAAGGAACATTGTAACTCATCACGGGTTCCAGGATTTTATTCTTTGAGACAATGGCGTACCAAAGGAGGGCGTTGAGGGGTTGACCCCGCCAGAGGGTTTCTTTTTTTGAATGTATGAGAAAAAAAGATACAATATACCCCGACCCTTAAACTACAAGCTCTGATATAGCCTCACATACCAGTCCCATGTAGGAATAACTGGTGGGCTTGAACATCGTGACCTAGTTGTAGGGGCAGATCTAGGATTTCCGAAAAGGGGGCAGCGATGGTAAAATACCGCCGAATGCGTAGCTTTAAGCACTTAAAGCATGGGGTCCGGGTCCCGCTCAAGGGATTGTCGGATTGCATCGGATTCTAGGCGCTTAGAGGTGCAATTACAGGCAGGACGGCCTCTCGTTTTTTTCTTCTCCCTCCCTCTTCTTCTTCTTTTCGTATTAACATGTATTCGTTTTTTTTTTCCGGTGCAAAAAGGAGAAGGGGGTGTGCGCCCTCACGCCCCCTGGACCCGCCCCTGGTTTCTTTCTTTTTTTGGGGGGGGGGTAAAGTCTTTTCTAATTCTAAGCCCCCCCCGACAAATCCTGACTGACTTCTGTGAGGAGGAAATGATCTGATGTTGTATTATGAATGATGACACACGAATCTGCTACGTTGGTATACACGATTTTGCATGCTAAGAAAAAGGGAAGCACACTGAACTGGTATACCTCATGCAGAATACTTCTTTCAATTTCTCCACAGCTTGGGTGCTTCGTAACTCCATGGGAAGTGGTTCAGGATCGGGTTGCGCCCAGCAAATGACGAAACCGCCACTGACCAAGGTCAGCAAACCGTGAAGAAGCGCTGCTGTGCGGGCACTGTACTTTCCTCGCTGCGTGAAATGCATTTCTCACTGTCAGTCTCGAGTCGACTCCACTAAATTCCCTTCATCGCAAAGCAGACGAATTGGAGCACAACTCAAAGATTTGTTCCCCACATCTTTCCAGGGAGTGATCGCCAATTTTCGAGAAACTTGAAGTTCGTAACGCTGTCCAGGAAAAAATTGAGGTTTTCAATCAGATCGCAAAACTTGTTCACAGAGGGTGTGCATGCGATCATGGAGGTAGAAAAAGATGGACTGTCCAGCGCCGACTGCCCATTGAATCAGATCCTCCCGTCTCGCTTCGCTGAACTCAGTGTGTCTTTTTACTCAACCAGAACTTAAAGCTGCTTTGCAAACAGAAGGCTCCCCAGTAGGCCTACCTGCAGTTCTGACCTCTGCACACAGGTCCTAATGACGTATTAATTTTCTGTAGACACTATCATGCAACATAAAAAACGACACAGGACGGGAATTTCCGAAGGTTGTAGTGAAGGGGTCGCGGGGCCTTATCTCCTCGTACTTTCCAGTTAACAGGACTCAAAACCCAGATCCGCCCCCTTTAGTAAACTTGTGAAAGTGTGCCCTGTACAGACGTCTGTTTCACTTCTTTTCTCGGCAGCTACACAATGATACTTGTATTGTTTTGAAGGAAATAGTATTCATCATTGGCAAAATATTCCTTTATGTCGCTCCGGTACTCAGCAACAGTCTACTTTGCATGCTATTTTATTTGTGGAATAAATGCTGTAATGGGACAGGGAATAAATTTACTAGCCAAACAATGAACCATTAAAATAATTCCGAGAAAACGTCAATAAATTCATTTTAATATCTTTGCGCATTCCGTGGTTCTGAGGTGACACAGTGTTTGCCAAAGTACCCTTGTGTAACTGTCCCACAGCGGAACCTGGGAATTCTGGAAACTCGGAAAACCTGTTCTTAAAATCGATTCAAACTGGAAAGAGTTTGACGGTTATAAGTTCCAAAGACGGGAAGTAAAAGAAAGCCAATAAAGAAACGGAGATACTTGGCATAAAATGGGTGCACTTGAGTTTGTTTCTGCATTCAATTGGGGACCCTGAACAATAGAGGATAATATTAATAAGGTCCCCGATTGACAGAGGGTCCCCGATTGACAACTGTGTACAAAACATATGGGTGGTCTTCTAAAAAAGTTGAAGTACAAACAAAAGAGGAACAATAGGGGTCCCCAGTTGTAGGCAAATACACACTTGTGTGCTCGGGTGGGTGAATTGTTGGGGGTGAATGGGTGAAAATGGTAAAATAACAAAAACAAAAACAAAACAGCCATTAGGTTTTAAAAATTATGTCGTGGCAAAAATTTGTCCTTTAGTGCTAAGAAGAATGGGATTATAATTTATTTTAGAATTTTCAAAGAACAAATAATAAATTCATTGATATATAACAGACTTTTGTCGTTGCTTTTGTGCCTGTTTCAGATGTCAAGGGCCAATTAACACTTGTGGAAAGCTGGCTTTTAATACAGGAATCGAGAACACTTGGAGCTATTTGGGGATACATAACATCCCATTACCGATTTTCCAGAGGTGTTAAAGAATATTTCTGATATGTGTTCATTTTGTACTGAGTGTATTTTATATGTCTACTTTGTGAACAATTGTCTAATATTTATACATGAAGTTGAAAAGATTTAATTTTTAGAATAGCTTTACAGTGCTTTAAAGACATTTTAAACTGAAATGAAATGTTTGTCTATTATTACATGCCTGACCTAAAAGCTCGTTTCAATAAAAGCATTAACATTTCTGGGGTGTAGAGTTTGTAAGTGATGGAATCCAAACGCTTCGTTTGGTGGGATCCGATAATTAGGAATGATTCCATCACTGGAATATCCCCAAACGCTCGTCCATTAAAGCAAGATACCCCTAAGGTAAACCATAATCATGTTATTGCTCCAAGAAAATAATCTGGAATGTGGGTTGGGCTCGTCATTTAGCTGCATGACTGTAGTTAGTTGATGAATTAGACTTATTTGGTTCCTGTGAATATGACTGCTTTCTTATTTCATGACCAATATAACTACATGTATGCTATGTTCAAAATGTGCTAAACTGAGTCAACCCTCATCGGTTCTTCTAAGAAGCTCAACTCTTCCATAAGAGATTGTTTCCATGGTGTACCCGCAAGCCTACATCTCATAATTACGGTGGACGGTCACGGCAAAAGCAAAAGCGCCACGGCAAAAGCAAGGCATGTAAAGGGAAGGGACGTAATCATACATGTCACCTCTAAGTGTTAAGTTCGGTGGAGGGGAGTTAGGCCACCACCATGAATTTCATTTTTTTCTTCAGAACTGTTTTCTTAAAAGAAGTGTTTCTATGGCTAGGAAAATAGCAAGGGAAAAGGGTCTACGCAAATAAAGTTCAAGGAATAATCGGACGATATTATCCTTTTGCTAAACAGGGGATTTTCATCATTCCAAGCAGATTGCTGCCGTGCATTCGAAATTTATAGAAGGGAGGGGTGAGATTTGTCATCAGCATCAACAAGGCCACTCCCCACTCTGTTCTTACTGTATAGTTTGTACAGCTTCATGGACGAGGGGTCTGTTCGCTGATGTATTTTAAGCAGTTTTTATAGGTTTTTGCGACCAGCCTTGAAAGAAAATACTGTACTGTTACTGGGAAGTCAATACTGGTCTCATGCAAGGCTACAATAGTGGGTGGGTAACACTTGTCAACTCATCGCCAGCGGGCCCATTAAGGCAAGTGTTTCCCAGAGAGCGGTAGTTTTAAAACTCCGGGCTCGTTTGTGTATATTTGTGGGTTTTGTTTATAATGATTTACTGCATGATTCAGGCTTTTCCACTCTAATTCACATTATGATATTGTGACACGCAAGGTACTGTTTTCACCACAAGGCGTCCACATAGTAGTAGTCCGTATCTACACCGCAAATCAGCCTATTAGGTCCTGGGGGCGCTACTACGCCCATCATATTTTTTTTAAATGTCAGTTAAAGATGAGGGTTATATTATCATGTATTTGTAGGATACCATCCTTGATACTAAAGTATTTTTACCTGTTTTGTGTGTCCGAGCATGGAGGCCACGATCGACATCCATTCCCACTGGAACTAAGCCTGTGTGTTTTGCTTTTGCCGTGACAGCTGTGGGCCACCGTACATAACCCCTTTCTTTTTGAACTTTGCATGAGAATAAGAATTTGTTATATTTCCGACTGTGAAAAAAGATGAGAAAAGAAAGGAAATTCCAATTCACGCTGTATTATGTTCCAAGGTCACTTGTCTTAAAATCGTCTTTGTCAACCAGTTAAAAGAGAAAAATAATTGCGTTCCCACACCGGGAATCGAACCCGGGCCACGGCGGTGAGAGCGCCGGATCCTAACCACTAGACCATATGGGATTGCTCGATAAGAGGAGCGCATCTAAACGATATAATAATAATAATACTAAGTCCGAAATGTATCTCGTTCTGGAAGATTCCAAAGATTAAATTAATTACTTTTAGATACCAACATTTGAACGGATATGTAGTTGTACCGGTAAATTGACCAAGAATGGTTTTGTCACAGATATGCCTAGTTCAGTGCGAGCTAACGAATTTTTTGTGTCGTAATATCTCAAGAGCCTCGTTTTCAAATATCATTCCAAGATGGCAGCGACCATGGAGTTGTTTTCTTCGTCTGTGCGCCGTCGGTGGCTATCCTGGCTATTGCAACAAACTGAGGAAAGTTGCGTCACTTAAATCACATAGTCTTTGAGATTCGAGAACTTCTCGACAAAGTGGCCATTTGGATTTTGAACATATTGCCATTATGGCTTCGGGAACAACCGACTCAACACAATGGATGTGCGTAAACGAAGAGTCGTTGTTTTTGCATGACGGTTTGATTCGTGTCACCGATCTCGTCCAACTACCGCGTGACGTGACAACCTCTAGCGAGGCTGACCGGGAGAATGAGGTGGTTTCCTTCGATACCAAGAACCCCGCAGAGCTCACGGAGCGACTTCTGTCCGTGTGCGGGACGAACAATAATGCCTATGCCTATTCGAGACTCATGGAATACCGGTTGAACGCCTTGAAAGGTTTATGGAACGCCCATCGGCAAATAAACAGCAACATCGAGCAGATTGAGAAGGAAGCATCCAGTCATGAGGAATCTATCTCCTTGCTGAAAAAGCAAGGCTTGTGGCAGCAGCCAGAGCAGGTCTCCTTCTCCAGTCGCGTCGGGCTCCTACTGGTCTTCCCCTTGCTGAAATCCCAGAAGAAGCAGGACCCAGAACTTTGCGGGGAAACAGCCAAGTTGCTGTTGAATTGCCTGCGGGACTGCCCACCGCTGAGTCTGACCAAAGAACCTGGGGATTGCCTGCAAGGGTTGGAGGGTCTGCTGTGCTCTTGGCTTGTAGAGGGCAGCAAGCTGCTCCAGGAATCAGACAAAGATGAAGTCCTGAAGGATGAACTGAGATCACAGCAGGAGGACCTTGCCTCGGCGTTGGTTGCACTATGCTGTGCCAGGTGAGAAAATGTTGCTGGCAGCCCTCTGTGAGCTGTTTGGGTTAGGAAGGACTTGGTACACTGGGAAAGAAGGTTGGAGAATATCCTAAAACTTAGAAGTACTCCCCTCCCTAATTAACTGGCTAAATTTCTGAGTCTACAGTCTACATTGAGAAACAATGAAAAGAGATTCAAGCAGTACAAATACTGTGCACTGAATGAACAAATTATAAGTCCAAACAACTCACAGATCATTACTTTTTGGACTCCTATACTTTTTTCTTTTCCCTTTTAAAAAACATTTTAGAAGGTGTGTGTTAGTCTTAAAACTATGCAGCCTTGGTGTAGTCATCTTTACGCTCGCTTGAAGGATTGATACGTCATTTTTGGGAGAATATGTGAAATTTCCATTAAGCAGTTAAATACACATGCTTTATAATAGGGTCCCTAACCCTCCTATGCTGAAGTCACTCTTTGGGTCACTTGGTAAACACCTCAAAGAAGCACAGCTGTGTCGTGTTATGCACTGCACCAACATGCAAGAGAGTGACCTTGGGCACTTGTGCATATTTGTGCTGTAAAACTAAAGGAGGGTTAAAGTAAGGATTGCCAACAATAAAAAAGAGTACGCATGGAATATTCTGTTAATGGCATTGCAGCTATGGAGTGGTTGGCTCACAGGAGATTAAAATTTGTTTGGCACAATCATTTGAAACAAAAAATGTATCAGCACAGTCACTCTCAATCATCTCCATACACTGTCAGCAGATGGTACATGTACATGGGACGTACTGCGTCTTGAAAGTACGAAAATCATAATGTACCAGTGTGCTTCTGCATGTCTGTACAGAGGAGGGTTGGCAAGAATTCACATCATGGAGTTCTCTTGCAAAAAAAGACAAAACTGAAATGTAAACGGGCACAGTAATGCACTTTACTGCCCCAGTTGCATCTAATTGTCCAAAGACTATTACAAACATTAGTCGGCATTATACCTCTGCAGCATCTGTAAGGATGCATGGTCATGCTTTATCCATATTTAACCGTAACCCCCTTGGCTCCTGCACTAGAAAGCATACTGAACCTCACAAAATCCAACAGGTTCATGTACTTGTCTATGTACCTGTACATGCAGGTCACCGTACCAAACCTGATAAACTCCAACAGAATGAGCCCGTTGGAGTTTGAGTGATATGGTATGGATGGGTCCATGCAGTATAGGATGACTTGCACTGAACAGTACCAAACCTGACAAAATCAAGCATAGTCCAACAAATGGTACAGCAAGCCAGACACTGCACACAGTGGCCCGAGTGTGTCCCAACTCACACAGAATCCAACACCATCTCCTTGGGCCTTTCATCCCAAGTCTCACAAAATTCAACAAAAAGTTCCACAGACACGGCACCAAACCTGCCAAAACCTCACAAAACCTGCTGTTTGAGTATGGCACGTTTTGGGCAGTTAAGGTTAAGTATACATGTACATGTACACAACAGAAGTGCTTTGAAACGTTGTCATCACTTTGGGGGTGTATAGCAGCGCACAAGTGATTTCACAATTAATTTGAATTGAACACAGGTACTTTTTGCTGTGGTTTTAAGTATCATGAGATATCTCTCAATTTCTAAAAACCATGTAGAATTGATGTAGGAGCTGTTTCGACATAAGTAAGTGCTGTCTGCTTTAACTTTTGCTGTAGTAGATTCTCGGACTTCTTGTCAGGAAAATGCGATAATCAACATGTCGCTTGAAAGAGGCTAGTTCTTGCTCAAAGTAGTACTTGTCACTAGTTTCTCAGTGCTTTGTCATGACCTGCGGATAGGGTTGATGGACGGGTGGCTCCAGAGTTGAAATGATGCAAGCCTTTGGCCTTTTGTTTTGGTGTCGACTGCACAGGGGGTCCACATCCACCATCATACACACCGTCCACCTCCTGCAGGGCCTGCAGGGCGGCCTAGCCTCCTTACCAGTCGCCGATATCCTGCACAAGCTGCTGAGGCTGGAGGGTGGACCTGGCTGTACATCCTCCCTGCTGGGCAGCAAGCACATGGTGTGCTGGGGGTTTGAGGACATGCTGAGTGAAGGCACTAAGGACGGAGAGGAGAAAGACAAGGAGAAAGGTGAGACTGTCCTGAAAGACACTGTGGAATCAGAGATCAGAGCCTAATCCTGAAATTCTTTGCTTGTCATAATTTGTTTAATGTACCTTTGACAACTACAGAAATGAAGTACGTGTACATGGTTCTTCAGTTTTTATCAACATTTCTGAAAGGTCCTTCATTGCAGTATCTAGAGATTTTTTGTGTTAATTTTCAAATTTGTTCTATGTATTTTGCTAAGATTTATGCAAATATTGGTAAGCCACCTTTAAAAGTAATGCACGTAATTTGTTTGGATTGACTTCATTCTTAGCACTCAATCAGAATTCAGAATTTGTCTTCTGTCAGTGCTGTAGTACCAGTGGCGTAACTTCCCGTTTCCCAAATAAATATTCTTTCTACCAAATTTGTGTCAGGTATGTGATGAATTTTAATTTGTAAAAGGATATTTCTTCTGCAACACTATGTTTAACCCGCAGACACCACAGACATTGGAAGAAGCCTGACAAGTGACGGTAGATTTCTCTACACCACCAGTTCCCATGGCAAAGGGCTGGCCAAATTTGGATCTGGATTGGCCGGCACCTTGAGGTAGGGAAAAACACAGCATTAGCACTCCTAAGTGGTACGAGCAAGCATGGTAAAGTGCCTTGCCCAAGGGCATACATGTAGGTATCACGGATCCCATGGCAGGACTCGAGTCTTTTACACCGGAACGGAGATCAACATAGCTCCTTGTACTCTTCCGTAAAGTTGTCTAGATTGTAATCGTTCCCTTGTCGTTTATCACAGAGGCTTTATCTACGCCAAACGCCAGGATCTTGGCCAGGGATGGGTGGCCTACGGGGGATGCCAGCTGGTTCACAGAACCCTGGAGTCTGACGGTCACCCAGAGCAGCTGTGTACAGTCCTTGACCCGCAGACCCTCAAGGTCAGTGAAGAGGATGTCATTTGTGTCTAGCCTCTACCTTTGAGCCAAAGGTTCAATCGGCGCATTATCATGTAATGTTCTGGATGTATCACATGAACGTTTTGTTTATTACATCGGAATATTCATATTTTTGCACACCAACATATCTGACCTACTCGCTGTACTAGAAACTGATACAAAATAAGTGTTGTTTTAAAGATTAAAGGAACCAGAAAATAGAAATATTTTTATAAATTTTACTAAAAACCCTTGAAATTGCATCTTTGGGCTTCAATTAACCTTATTTTAAATTTTGGGTTTGCAATTTTAACCCATATTTTGAGGCTTTTTGGTTTTTATGCTGATGTATATTTGTGTATTCATGAGCAGAACTATGATGTCATCCATGGCACTGAATCTCAATGTTGCACTAATTTGGGCGCAGAAAATTTCTAGATTTTTAACCACTGCTATTGCAGATTTCATTTTCTTTGACAATTAATTGCTTTATAAGTATGTGGCAATAATTCAGCGAAAATCCTTTTCACAGAAATGTTCCCAGATAGCAAATTTGGGGTTCACAATTTGAACACGAAAATGTACAACCTGAACCATGTCTTCCTGGATTTACATCAAAGCAAAAGTGCCCTCACTTGTCCAGGAATGCTTGGCCAATTTTTAATGTTTGAAAAAGTGTACCGTGCAGTTCACGTAACTCAAAAAAGATGTCAAACAGTCTTCATACGTGGAAGAAGGGTACAGAGATACACAAAAAGTGATTCTAAGAAAAATTCAATTCCTGGATCCTTTTAAGAGTACCTGTACGTTCAACCAAGGACTATCTGGTTGACTACTAGTCAGT